TGAACTTTGACACGTAAAATCAATTAATGTCAATTCTTATGTTTACTTGTTCAGTCCAAGCTGTTCCAAGTTTCCATAACAATCGATCAATCAGTGTCTTTCTCGAGCTAAATCACCGATAATTTCGATAGCCAGCGCAGCGATTGATAAAAACCGATAAGTTATGACGTTCGTTGTTGATTTTCTGCTGACTTTAATTGCTGTTTATTTCGATCACCGACATTTATTCGACAGCAACTCATGATTTTATATAAATATTGTGATAACACAAATGCTCTAGCATCATTTGCCGATTATTTCGATAGGCAACCCCCGAATATATTACAATAAATAAGTAAACTTATAAATTATGAATCATTTTTGTTCCTCAAAGTGCAAAGACAGCAATTAAAAAATTGTATATATTAAATTAATAGACCTTGAACGATGACTCACTTGGCATTGAATGAATCTTCTGGTTTTGAACCACTTCGGGTTGGAGGCAAACCATAAATGAGAGTGCCTGATATGACCACAGTTTCACTTCGGTTTCTAGGGTATCTGGACTTGGTCTTTTATTCCTGAGGGTATTTTTTGCCGCTTCCGGAGGGCGGAAAAGGGCCGCATGGCAAGGGAATAGGAATGTGGATGGTGGGCGAGAGGCGAGGGGGGAGCAATGTAATTTACTTGTGACGATCTTCGCCACGATCGCCGAGGGGCGACAACTGCTGACGTCAACGGAAGTTGTCGCTTGAGCGAAGGTCAACGGATTGTACCAAAAAGTACCCAGATACGACTTATGTACATGTGGTTGTGCCATCTGGATGGGGGTGAGATGTCAGCGGAAAGATCTCGCCGCTAAATCGATTTCTCACACAATTAGTGGGCGTCATAATTCCCATTCCCATTTCAATCCTCTGATGGATTCCCCCCGATACCCCAATACCCAAATACCCCGATACCCCGATACCCACTTTATGCCCGTCGCTCTCGCCGATGTGTTGATTAGATATGACGCTGGGAATGGGTCTGGAACTGCGACTGGGACTGTCTGATCGGACTGTGACGGATGTGCACGACCCACAGAGACCATAAAAGCTATTAAAACAAAATAGCACCACACGATCCAATCATGGTGGTAAATGTTGTTAGGACGTCAGACTAAGATCAGCTACGCTTCTCGTCAAATAGGTGATATGCAAGCGAATATACACTTCGTTAATGGCTATTTGAAATGCAATTTTAACTACATATTGAAAATCCTCATATCTTTACATTTTACACAGGAGTATTAACCAGTTTGAAACTGAACAAAACCAATAAGGAACCAACTTGAACCGCTTTTACCTGCTGTTAACAGAAGCGTTAAGTTCAAAGCCACGATTCCTCTGAAATGGTTGCGAACTTATGCGAAAAATAGAGAAATCTTTATTCAAAACTAATTTCTTTTTATAGAACTTAATATCTTATCTTACAGATAATATACACCCAACTGTTTCATTATAGATTTCTATGCACGCCTTTCGACTACTATCTTTATACGCCCTTTAAGATATTATAAATTAAATTGGTTTAAGCAGTGCAAATATACAATACTTTTCACTGTGACACGTTTCTTAATTTATACTTTTTATCAGTGTATTATTGACAATTCCCCATATAGCCACTATCTTGTTGTGGTTTTAAATATACATTAAGTAATCTTTAATATGGACAAATTGCACTCTTATCAAATGCAATAAATGAGCTCATCAAAAATATATGCAAAAATAAATAAATATTAAATATAAATCGCATCAAAGCCTTTTACTTCGAAGGGTTTCCAGTATACTTTATGATTCAAAAATGAATTAATATAATAAATCATGTATGTCATGTACATGTATAGGATATCTATACTGGATAGGATCTTTTCTTCCACATCCCAAACGCAACATGTATCTGCGTCACATTTCCTGTTCATTATGATATAATTTGTATCAATATTTTGCGATCCATAAAGAAGATACTCCTCCATCCATTAAAAGAGTCTCTCGCTGACTTTGCACTTCAGAGATGCGATATTATTAATGATCATGTCTCGAGTGGCGGAGCAGGAAGAAGGGGTTCGGATGAGGGGGGACAAACAAAGGCGGCCCAGTGACGTCACAGCGACGTAAGCGAACCAAATGGCGATATTGTCAGTGACTTTGGCACCCACACAGTGGCTTTATCTTTAAGTAAGCAAAAGGCATTTCTATGAAGCCCACGCCGCAGTGTCCACAATAACAAAACATTACGAAGAAACTGCCTGGGGTCTCGGGTCTCGGTTCTCGGTTCTCGGTTCTCGGTTCTTGGGCCTTCAGTCCTCAATTCCAAAGTTTCCATCTCGAAAATGAGGCAGAGAAAACCCATTCCATTCCGCAAATGGAATGCGAAGAACAACCAAACAAGATCGCCCCGCGGGACCTAAACACATCCAAACTATAATGACAACTGTGATAAGGCACGGTGACAGGCCTGGGTTGGGTTCGGTTCGGTTGGGTTCGGTTCGGTTTGGTTGGGTTGGGTTGGGTGAGTAGGATACCAGGAAATGGGGGTCCCAGGAATGCCAATCCAAACAGTGGAGATATCGCTTGATGCGCAACAAACGCCCAGCATCATGTATCTGATGATATATGTATGTACAATATATATCCATTCCTGATAATACACCGACTTCTACGTCTCGAAATATGAATCAAACTTGAGGTCGTTTCGTGGAATTAGATAGGAATACCTGATATATGGCACGTTCATTGGAATTTCATAGGCATCAAGTAGGACAACGAAATAATAGCAATTTCATAAGTTAACTGAATAAACTAGAAATTACGTCTGACATGAAGTTAATTCAGCTTTTAGCAAGGTCACATCACTGCGTATGTACTTATTAAGCATATTCAGGAGGGAATCTAAGGCAAATCAAAGGCAATTCTCATAACAAATAAAGGCAAAGACGGAAGTTGAATAAGAATCGTATTCAAATGGGGAAGAACTTGTAATGACATGCTAATAAAATTGAAGTGTATCTTACAGAGCAGTGGAGGCTGAATAAAAAGTGTATGCAAATGGCGATAAAACTGAAATTACAATGTAGCATTAACTGGGTCAACAATTGAAGTGATTTGTATATTGACTAAAACTTGACTTAATATTGAGGCAGTTTGACGAGAATTTCCAGAAAAATACACCCAAGTCGTAATTCACTCTGAAATTATGATCATTATGCTTGCATTAATGTCTACATCTCTGAGATATTCTGATATTTTGTGAAGTTATTATCACTATGCTTGTAGAAATGTCCACATCTCTGGGATATTCTGATATTTTCTTATCAACTGTGGTACTTGTAAATGCAATCCCCGGGACTTAGGGAGTAATCCCCAACGACACGAGGGCTTGTGTGTCATATACATAGGCATACATATATGCGAGTCTAAATGGGAACTGTGACGTATGCGTGATATCACCTAAAAAAACTTATCACTCATCGCCCCACCAAAAAAAAGAAAAACACAAACAAAAACAGAACCCTCCGTGAGCACACTATATATATATATAGTATATGTTATTAACACAGACATGGCTTAAAAAATAGAAGAACAGGCCATTTCTGGGATGCCTCCAATTATTGCTTTTGTCGGCGGCGGGGTATATACCATATACTGTATGAATGCCAGGGAGATAAACCCGCTTGATAAGCGCGTAACATTATTAACCAAACACACACACAGACACGCACACACAGACACATAGACGATCAGACAACACACATATCCATATCTCTTGCATATACACACACACACATATACGGACGATGAGATATCCAGGTGAATTGCTTTATTGTCGTTATCATGACTCCGAAACTTCGGTTTCTAATACTTTTATTTACTTTACAAACTTTTCGCCGTCTGCTGACAAGAACAGCAACAAAAGGAATAAGCCACAAAAAAGATGCCATTATATAAAGGTAAATATGTGCTGATTTATATATGTATGTACATAATATTTATCTATAATACAGTATACAGTTAACTAAGATAAGCCTTTTCCGTCGCTATCGCTGCCGTTGTGTTGTTGTTGTTCCAGTTCTAGATAAAACAAAAAACGAAATGAACCAACCAAACTGAGGTTTTCATATTTTGGTAGATATATACATATTTTTTATCACGACACCCCTTATTTTTCAACATCACCACCTCATCGTTCTCATTCACACTCACAAAAAAAAAAAAACGCAGAATAATCCCAATAAGAGCGAACGGAAAGAGGAGAATACAAAAAGACTTCTCCGAGCAACAGAACCTCATTTTAGTGATAAGATAAAAATCGAATTAATTAGCAGCCTTTTAAGCAAAGCGCATACACTAGAAAAAAAGAGAACTGCATATGCACAATGGAAAAACCATTAGCTGATAAGGCGGCCGATTGCCATTCTTGAGCCCTCATTTGTATCTTGCAGTAAGATCCTTGGGTATCTTTAAAACAAGTTGAGACTTTAGAAAAGAATGGTGCCTTCTGAAATTCGCATGATCAGGTCAAGTAGTTTGAGGGATTTTCTTTGATTTTTATATTTAATAGATACGTGTACACGTATTGTAAAAGTCTTATTATCATAGTCTTGTTTTTATAGTTATAATGGTCTTGCAGTTAATAGACTAAACGGTATAATACTGCTCTACAGCAAAAGAGAATTAACGAATGAAGCACACTGTATTCAAATTACTCCACCTTTCTAGCACCCGTTTCTCCCTGTGTTTATGCACCAACTTGCTTATCTCTGCCATTCGCTGCCATTCAGACCTGCCCTCATTCACTGCTCTTTTATGCTTTCGAAAACAACAACACAACAATCATAATAATAGTACAAAAAAAAAATGTGGTTAATATTAAATTTACTAGACTGGCTCCACTGTGGGACTTCCGTCCGTTTTGCCACCCCGAATTCTTTAGTCTAGTTTGAGATTTCCCTGGTTTGTGACGTCATCGCGGGCGCCTACCTTCTTGGATCGATCCCGCTGACGATCACCAAGCTGCGTGGCGGCCATAAGTTCGCTGATCTGCCGCTCCCTCTCACGTTCGCTAGCCCCCCGCTCGTAGTCGTCCTGGAGCAGCTCCTCCGCATCGCGATCCTGCTCGTCACGATCCTCGTCATCCACCTCCTGATCCTCCTGATCCTCCTCCTCCTCCTGCTCCTCCTGTTCCTCCTCATCGCTGAGACTGCTGCTCTGGGTGCTGCTATTCCTGGCGAGCGCCACACGGACTCCATTCACGATGCACTCGCCACCATCCAGGGCGGAAATGGTGGATCCACAATAGTAGAGGTTACTGCAACTACTTGCCGCACTGACATCCGACTGGCCATCGTCCTTGCCACATCCCGGCGACATTCCCGCCGCTCCCGATCCACCGTGCGATCCATGTGCGCCGTGCCCGCCGCTATGACTGTGATGTCCCGCCTCCAGGGAACAGCGACGCTGGCCACGCGCCCGTTGCAGCCGAAAGTATTCCATCTCCTCCATGCTGATGCCGCAGGCGGTTATGTCATCCGAATAGTCGCTGACCACCACGGATGGTGTGCGCACATAGCGCACGCCCAGCGGCAGTCCACTGGCGCCCAGTTCGCTGTACGAGCTCTGGGTGGATTCACGTCGCGAGCCCGGTGCGGCCACCACTCGCTCCTCGAGCAGCACCTTGGTGGGCACACCCACGCTCGGATTGGCACCGCCGGTGGGCGATGTCAGTGGTGAATCTGGCAGGGCTGTGGGTTCGGCCAGTGGCAGCAGAGCCGGTCGCAGGGGTAAATCCGTTACGGTGAGTGTCATCCGGCGTTGGGGCGGCAATGGTGCATCCATGCCGCCATCGTCCACATCCAGGCCCAGGGCGGAATCACTGCTGGCACAGCGTGTGACCTTCATTTTGCGCTGCCTTGGCGATAGGCTGTTATCCTCATTGTCGCTGCTATAGGGACTCAGTCCGCTACCGGTGACATTGCAGCCCTCATCCGAATTGGATGCAGTGGCTCCGGGCAGCGTCTTGGGCTGATCCTCGTTGCTCAGCTGCTGTTGCTGCTGGACTATCATGGCCTGGAACTGATCGATCAGCTGTTGCACCGGCTTGCCTCGTTCCGTCTTGCACCTGGGGTAAGCAGTGCGGTAAGTAGTGTTGGTGGTGGTGGTGCTGCTGCTGTTGCAGGTGATCTTGTTGCCTCTGCGGTCTGATCCACCCACTTGATCGCCGAAAAACTGCGCTTTCAATTGCGCCTTGCGAAGGGCCAACTCGGAGACGGATGCCTCTTCACATGGATTGCCGCCACCACTTCGCTGGGTTGCTCTACCGCTGGCTGTAGCTGCTGCTTTGGTTCTGGCTATGGCTCTGACACTAGCTCCAATCTGCTCCGCTGTTCGCTGATAACTGAACGCCGTTGCCTCTGCCGCCGTCCATTTATTTTCAATTTTAACCGTTCTCCTCGTTGTCGTTGTTGCTGTCGTTTTCGTTTTCGTCATTTTCGCCCTCGCTGCCGACGCTTTCGACAACGGCGACGGCGACGGCGACGTCAACTGCGACGGCGACATCGTTATCTTTGGCATGACATCGAATTGGAAAGCGGGGGCGTCAGACGTTCGCGAAACCGTTCCCGTAGCGCCGTCGCACGCACTCATCTCACATGGATGGCCTGGCTGGATCGCGGGGAGAGGTGGGGTACAGGTGGGGTACAGGTGGGTACGGGTACAGGTATATGGGAGTGTTATTAGTTAGTTAGGACTAATGAAATAGGAGCGGGATGCGTTGGGTGAACACCAAGGATGATATGGATGATATATAGGTGATAAGGAAGATGTTATGAGCAAAGATTTGAAAATAATGCTATAATTAGGCATTAAACGGAAAGAATATTCTACGTAGCTGAATTACTAAAAAGTGCTTAGGTAAAGAGTTCCATTTGGAGATGGTAAAATGGAGAAACTTTAGGGACGAGATAAAAGTGAAAGGCTGGCGATAAGACGATAAAAGATAGATAAAAGCAGTGAAGATTTCCGTTAGGAAAGAGAATGTAAAGAGTGCCAAGGGTGGATAGGAACAGTTAGAAAAGGCTGGCTACCAAAGGGATGACAGAAAGAGAAAGTAGTGAAAACTTCGGCAATGAATGAGTGGTTGTAATGATTAGGCGATACTGATAAGGAAAGAGGGGGTATTGTGTTGGAAAACGGTGTTGCAAACTGTGTGCCGTCGAAACGCGCTACTAACGCTGGTGTCGAGACAAAATTCCAGCAAAATTATAGGTGAATATGCCACTGGAATCCCCGGCAAACATTCTACGTCCGCACTTTCCGAATGGCACCTGTGCGCTGCCGTCGCCGAACTGAAATCGCTTTCTGCGGCTCTGCAGCTCTGCCCGTTTTTTCCAGCGGGGCCGGCGGAGGGGCGAAGAATCGAGAAGAGCAGTGGGGAGGGGTGTATCGATGGGGCGGGGAGGCGGGGCGATGCGAGGCGAGGGGAGGGGAAGCTCGAAGAATCGTAGAGAAGAATTGTTGAGCCGCGGAGTGAAGTGGCGCAGCGACGTAGAGCAGCTGTTGTGCGGGGGTCTTATTATTGTTGATAGTTTTCTTCGACAAATTGTGTTATTTACAACTTTCGGTTGCTTTTGCCACTGTTCTCGCAATTCAGGTGGGGTTTTTGGTGCTACTGCCACTGCGGCGGGGTAATTGTAATTGTGATCTTGAAACGTTGACGCAATGTGCAATGATCCCGCACGTATACACGCACACACCGGTAACTGCTCCAATTGCCGCGCGTAATTGTAAATTGCATTTGAGCACAGAGCACTGAGCGCACACAGATAGACACACATACACGAACACACGGAGACGCAGAGGCGCACGCACACCAGCACACACAGTGATAGACTGACAGGCGATGCGAGCCAATGCAATAAAGCACTCTGCGAGCACCACTACAAGCGCACAGTCACGCACACACGGACACTGACGCACAATGGGTCGAATCGGTGATTTATCGCCTACTTTCAGTTGAGTCAAAAAAAAATAATAATAATACAAAAAATCATATTAGATGACTAGGAACTATTCCCGGCAATTATTTTTTCAACATCACATTTACGGAGCTTACCCAAATAAAAGGTATAATTATATTTTGCATTACCAGCACTTTTTTTACACCATTGAAATCATTGATTGAATTAAAACTTCTAACACAGGCAATTAAGAAAAAGGTATGGTTTCAAAATTCCAACAGTCCTTGGTAAACAATAACAAGTTGTAAAATTGACGTTGAAGCATTAAACAAAAATTATTAACTGTTCCCATGTTAATATCGTGTTTATATTTCCGTTTATAAATAAATCCCCATCTTGCTTTTTTGTAGTTAACTATCAGAACAAATGACGCAAATAACTGCTTATCGCTTTACACCAACTTTTCGCAAAACACAACACCAAGGGGAATGGAGTCGATTAAATTCTTTAAAATTAAAACCTAGAACAGTCCGCTACACAAAAAAAAAAAACCGTTTGCGTACATGACTTACGAAATGTGTCAGTACATTTGTATAGCTCAACCGCAAGCCAACGACCTACGTCAAAACTGATTGTAGTTGCAGAAATTCCGTTGCAAATTGCAAAATTTTTATGAGTTCCAATAATTACTATATATACATACGTACGTTATATAAGTGGGTGACAAAACCGTAAGTCGCATCCGTTTTCAAATTGTTCTTGGTAACTCTCCACAAAAATTCAAAAAAAAAAAAAATATTAAAAAAAGGATAGCCCAATTCCCCATCAACAGGTTCATTGACTATACGTTGGGTTTAATCTGGTCGATTTTTTGGTATGCACGGAATCGTTATGATAAGCACGTGATTCACTCGAAATCCCCACCCACTCCACGGTGCCAAGACGATGATGATGATGATGATGATGATAATTAAGCTTATAACGATGATGATGGGCGACCCACGGTGCGGCATCGCACTTTGTCCAAAACGCCAGCGGCTATGACGTCAGTAGTCAGCGAACAACGCAGACGCAACAGCCCAGACAGAGACGGCGAGATGGCAGACAGGGGGGCAAGATTACCGGGTAGACAAGGGCGCAGTGATTACTCAACTCCCCGCCGCACCCCTATCGAATACCGCCGCCCTCCGCCCACCCTTTGCGGTATAAATAACAAGGGGCAATTAAAAATGCATTTTTTTTATTGTTTTATGTGATTTTCTGTCGTTGGTTTTTTTTTTGACTCTGTGTGCGTTGTTGTGCCTCGGCCTTTTTTGTATGATTTTTTTTTATATATATATTATTTTTTGTTGACTGACAAGACGCACGGACGCTAGTTTGCTGACGCTGATAGGCAACGGCGGAATGACGTGGTAACAGCTTAAAGTAATACACCCCCCAGCTCTTCTGCGGTTGTGAAATCAAAACCACTTTAGGTTAACACACCTGCGATCGAGATCGATATACGGCTAAGTTTTGCGCTCGACCAATTACGTCAATGCATTTGACGAGAGACGCAGGTAGCAAAAAAAAAAAAAAAAACATTAAAAAAATAGAAAAAAAAAACAGCACAGAAAATAGGTGCGCGCTAATAAAAATAGTGAAGGATAATGACCAGTTGCATTCTCGCACTCTCGCTCTGCGATTGGCCCTCCCCGGAACGCCCGATCAATTTGCCCCACTGACCGAAATCGTGGTTCAGAAGCTCGGAAAGCTTACAAGATCTCTCAGAGACCAGAGCTACCAGGTCAGCCTTTTTCCCGATACATTCTAATAAGTAAAGAATAATTTGAAGGAGTCTATAATTTAAGTGAGTAAGCTTCGTATTAACTTATGCCACCAGAAAAATCTATCAAATGCTGCAAAAAGCACGGCATTTCCGCGAAACAATTAGTAAACCCTATTTAGTCGAAAGGTAAATGCGTCGCCAAAATAAAATATTACTCATACGCCACATTGCGTATGAGTAATATACTTTTCAAATGAAACAATTTTACTTCAATAAAAAAACCAAAATCTTACTATTTTACGATACTATATAATTACCTAAAGCAAAAACTATCACCTTGAACCAGATTAATACGTTTTTTTTTTTAAATTACTCATACAACACGTACGCCAAATGTCATTATTTTACACTATTAAAATGCGAGCTCATGTTTTTGTAGTATGAATTCTTTAATGAGCTCGTAAAAATGAACAGAAATAAATTAACACACTATAATCTACGGATATTAGCGATCTCAAAGTGTTGCCTACTACTTAAGGTAATAAAAGTATTTCCAACAAACAAGATCTTAATGGGGGTATATGGTATTTATGTATTTGCAAGCAAACACAGGTAGCTTATTTTCCTGTTCGTTAAAATGTTGCAGTTAAATGGAAATATGTAGTGCCAACGCTTTAAAAAAAACCCCTTCTCAATTAGACAAAATGCTTAGACATAGACATTCATATGTATACTAGATATTTTCGAAAAATCTAGCTTCTTTTCGAATCGATTCCCTCTGAAAGCAGCTATTTTCCGCCCATAATCTGACAGCTCTGTTTCGGGCCTCGCTTAAACTCGGAGAGAAGAGAGAATAGAGAAGAACAGAGAGATGAGAAAAGGTGCTGGCCCAGCCATAAACTTAGCACATTTGCTTTCGGGCACTAATCATGTTTTATGGCCATAAGCACACACGCGCACACAAAGACGCACACGCACACGCACTCGCACACACACACACACACCCAGATGTACCCCGTTTTCCCAAAATGGTCAAAACGGGCCATTTGACGCGCGCATTCGCACACGCGTGAATTGTGTGCCGTTTACTGTTGTTCGCTCCATCCACTCCGGTTTGTTTTTTCTGCTTTTTGTTTTTCCTTTTCTTTTCTTTTTTTTTTTTGCCTGACATTGATATGATATGATCGTAGTGGCTGTGCATGGCTGTGTGCTGGCAGGGGCTTTGGATTGGATTACGGCTCGGATTTGGTGGCTTAAGTGAACTCTCTAAATGGTGCTGGCAAATGCTAATTACATTTGATACGCCGCTTTCTGGCTGCCCGGCGCTTTTCTTTTTGCTTGTAACGGTCGGCGCGAGAGGCGACAACTCGACGCAGGCGTTGCACACTAACTGAAATTCGAAATTCGGCCAGGAGGCTTGGCCGCCTCACCTGTCTCAGCTGTCGCACCTGACCGATCCGAGCTGCCAATAATCTGCGCAGCACTGGCGATTATAATTCAATGCTCGGCTCAAAGCTCGAAAAACCTCCCGCCGAGCGAACTGCCTCAATCCTCTACCATCGTGAATGATGAATGATCTAACCAATGTCTTAGTTCCAATGGTGCTGATTTCCAGGAGGCAGTACCCTCTCTTACAGCAGAATACTAACTTCAAGATGGCGCCCGAACAGGGACTCAATATTTCCGTACTCCATCTGAAAACCTTCTGAGGTATATGGTGCCCGATCAGGGACCGAATTAAGTATTTTAGGTTATGTTGAGTTCAAGTATAAAACATAAAGCCCTGCAGTTTTAAATTTGCATAACAATAATATCAGAAATGATTTTATTATTGTTCGATCCATATGGAATTAGTAATCCTAGTAGTTTATCTATCAGAAGCCACTTGCATGGGAGTTACACTTTCGAATTTGGAAATCGGAGTTTGCTGGTTTGGAGTTTCCACGGCAGCCTTGCTTTTTCACCTGCACATAATTTGCGCAGCACTGATGATTATATTTCAACAAAAAGCTCTTACAAGCACAACTTCAATATCAGACCAAGCATTTAAAAAAAACACTGCAAAACATTAGGAAGTCGTTTTTAAACCCGTTCTGAATATCTTATATTCTTTGAAAAGTATGTAACAAGTAGAAGGAATTGTTTACGAACGAATAAAGTATACATATCCTTGAGCAGAATATACTTTTGGATATCTGTTAGTCAAGGAACTCAACAATTGTGTTCTCTGTTATTAAAACTCAAAACCGATGCAATTTCTAGATCTATAATTTCGCTCGAAGTTCTTTGCTGTAAAGCTTCCAAGAAGCCAATATACCAAGAAGGATTTGATTTAAATTGACGCAATAACCATTTTAAACAAATAATTTTACTTTATTTGCATAAACACAACTTGGAAACTATTTTATCAGCGTAAAAGTAGTCACAAATTACAAAATATAGCCTTGCTGCTGTGTCTGCGTGTGATTGTGTCTAGATTTAGTGTTAGTTATGGGACGTTTCGGGGCTTTGGAGAGTGTTTAACCTGAGTAAGAAGCGCAACTGACGACCGCGGCTTCCAAAGTGTACATAGGGGGTTGACAAATAAAAAAAAGTGTAGTTCTATGGTGAAACAAAGTTAGTTAGTAACTGAACCACTTAAGAAAGAAGGGGGCTCGTTTGGTGGGTGGAATCGGTCTTTACCGATGACGTCGCTCCCGCTCTTCATAGTGTTCGTTGTGCCGACTCTTGCTGCTCCGCTCGTAGCCACCTGCGTCGCGCTTGCGCTCGCGGCGCTCGGAGCGGTGACGACTCCGGCTGCGACTTCTGCTGCGGCTGCGCGAGCTTTGTCTATGCTTGTGCTTCTTCTTGTGCTTGCTGCGGTGGCGATCGTAGTCCTTATCCTTATCCCGCTCACGATCTCTCTCCCTTTCCCGCTCGCCATAAGGCATCTGTGGTGGCAGCAGCGCCGGTGGGTAGTCCTCGTAGCCACCACGACCACGGCCGTAGGACGACCCAGACGCGGTAGCATAGTAGTCACGATCGTCATGATCGTTGCGGTAGTTGTTCGGCGGTGGGTAGACGTGGGATCGTGAGCCGGCATGTCCACCGCCACGACCACCGCTTCCACGCTCTACACCTCCATCCGAATACTCCTGGTAGTCCGCATCCTGACCAGCAGCTCCAGAGCCACCGCCAGTGCCCTGACCCGCTGCCGACCTACCCGTGCTCAACTGGTTGACGGTCACACCCTGCTCCCTACAGTATTGCTCGATCCTTTTCTCGATCTGCTTTTGTATCGGCACGGGGATGCGCGGAAAGAGTGTTGAGAACCAGTCCAGTTTGGTCATAAACTGGTAAACCATCTGTCCGATGGTTAAGACCTGCAAATAGCTGGGTTAGTGTCAAGTTCTATCATCGGAGTGTTGGGGCTCGTGGGATTGGTGGCTCATACAGTTGACTCACCTGGCCGCCGCCCGCCTTGACGTCGATCTCCTCCTCGTCCTGCAGATAGTCCTCATACCAGTCATACAGGTCACTAGGCGGCTGTGTGTATCGCAAGTACATAAAGCCTGGGGCACAGAATGAAATTGAGACACTCCGGATTAAAACAGTTTCAAGGATTTGAACGTGTGGTTGGCCAAAGGGGGAAATGATTATCATGGTAGAGTGGCTCGATTTGATTGACGGGAATATATTACTTAATTTGAAGCCTTTTCATTTTTTAACAATTTATGTTTTCAATTAGAGGGAAAGGCCATTTTGACAATACAAGGAATTTTCTTTTGGTAAAATATAAAAATCATGAACGTAGTACATAGCATTTATTCGAATTAAATAATTATGCATACAATTGCTGGGGAAAACTTTGCAAAATCATGCAATTAACTGAAAATCCCACAAAAAAAAATATAAAAACTATTTTTTATGAGGCAAATTACCGTAGACTTTTTCCTTTGATTTTAGTTAAGAATTTCTGGAAAAGCAAGGATTGAATAAATAAGACTGCAATTTAAGTCGAATAAGTTTGAAAGTATTTGTGCATGCTTAATGAACTGCTCCGGGAATTGCAAAAACATGAATAATTGATAAAATAAAATATTTGCAAGTAGGGTAAAGATTACCTTCACAGGCAGATGTAAGGAGATGGTAGGTCCTCTTCTCGCAAAAGGCACAACTTCAAATCGAAAAGGAAACGTGATTGTTGTTCAATCCATAGAATACCGTCCAACAAGATTCTCTATTATAGTTTGCAACCGTCCAAATCGACCCACCCTGGTTGATGTATTTTTTTTTTCATTTTTGGGGTGATGTATGGTGTGGTTTGGTTTCGTTTGGTGAGCTGAGGGAGCAGGAGCAAGCGACGGCATATGTGACGGCTGAACTCATGCGACTTACCAACACCTACCTAGTGCCCGGATGTAGGCCGAGTCTGTGTGATTGAGCAGTCCGTTGATCTGTTTACGGGTCAGCCGCAGGGTGTATAGCTTGTAGAGCAGGCAATATGCCGTGGACACAATGCCGCCGGCGCCAACGCCTCGCACCTAGAAAGGATTAGGATACCGGAAATGAGTACATCCATTCAAATATTCCATAAAGCATCGCCAACGATTAGCGCTACATTTCATAAACCACTCACACCGCCGCACATGCCCGTCTGTCCGGACGTTTTGCGGGATCCGCGCTCCCAGGGCTCCATGTGCTTCACCTGGTAGTAGATCTCGTCAACCACTTCATGGTATGTTTTCAGTTTAAACAAATGTACTGTTTTGGGTGAAAAAAAAAGGCGGGTAAGTGTGATGGATCGCAACAGCAGGAAATAAGATATGGATGCACCTTTGAAGTAGCTGGAGCTCTGGATGTTGGCCAGGATCAGGGGATTCAGGTTCATCGAGGTCTCGTTGCCCCAAAAAGGCAGCGTGTTGTGCTGCTTGCCTACGCCGGCCTTCTTGCCACCGACGGCCGAAGATGACGCCGAATAATCTGCACGAGACAAGACGCCGCCATCAATGAAACGCTCGCGGGGATTGGAACCACTGTTCTTACTTACCTTCGTCCATGCCTACTGCTGTTTCACTATTGGGCGCATTAATTTCACGGCTGCCGGAGGATTGTGCGCGCGGGAAATCGCGAAAAATGCACGCACAACTTGCAATTTACATGCGAGAAAATGCCCAAATTGGCGATGTGTATGCGTTAGCAGTCGTTATCGGTGCGTTATCGATAATGCTAGTGCGGGCTATTTTTAAGGTCACTTCTGCGGTCGTGACCGTTCACCGGGAGTCACGTTTTTACATTTTTATAATTTGTACTTAATATTTGCTCTAATTATGAAAGGATATTTGTTTTCGTAAGTAAGTTTCAGAGCCAAGGCAATTTCGTTGGTTTTTTTCGTATTTGGTTTTTTGATTCAAATCTAATGGTCGTGAATAAAAAAAAATCTAATTTCATTAAGTTTTATATTTAAATTTAAATATATTTAGTTATAATGGATAATTATTTAATCATTTTGTGTGTAAAACTACATTTAGAAAGCAGAGTGTAACTTTCCGTTACTAAGTTGTTCAAAAACTTAAGAATATTTCCATTGACTTACAGAGTGACCAGAGTGCTAAAATAATTGCCTTTATTGGCATTCGCAGCGGGGTCACACTGTGCCCAACTGAATCCAATCTGAATCCCATCTTCGCATCCGCATCTGCATTCCGCCGCCGAGGACGAGCACCCAGTGGCTAATCCGCCGACCATGTCGCCCAAGTATACACATGCGATTGTGGCCAGGTGAGTGGAGCCCAGATCCTCCGGAGCTCGGCGGTTGGCGAATCCGGAGCAGGGAGTGCCCCAGTGGCGCGGAATTAGGTCACCCAACCAACCAACCAATCGTTCGTGGGTACACATGCCAGTGGGTGGGGCTGCACCTCCCAAGCCGCCCAATTCCCAGATCCTGCATTGGATATATTTAACACTATCTAGTCTTGATATATCCATACCATCTGCTGATCATCCAAATCTATCCCATATCGTTAATATTTCCGTTTAATAGAACTTATAAACTTCAGGATACGCATATTATTAAAGATATACATTTATAAAACTATTAACAGTGCCTAACTTCCCTTACTATCTTGACACTCTTTCCTGTTTATAAGGAATTAATGTATATATTGGAATATCTTCTAAAATAAAATAGCAGGAATCAAGATTCCCACAATAATTAACGAAAGCTTAAACAAAATGTTGAAGAATAGGAATAACAACTTCCTTACCAAGCCACACATTCATAAGGAATAGTTAGCAATAAGCACCCCACACACTCGTTTATCCACTCAGAAGCTCTTGTATATTCGCCTCAACTAACTAATTGACTAATTGTCAACCGCTTTCAATCCGTAGAATCTCCGATGCCCTGCTGGAGAACGGGGAGTTCGACGTACAGCTGGCCAAGCAGCAGCACGAGCAGTACTGCACCCTCTTGAGGACCATTGGCCTCGATGTGATCGAGCTGCCTCCGGATGACCAGCTGCCCGAGGGCGTCTTCGTCGAAAACAGTGCCGTGATCTGTAATGGTGTGGCACTGATCGGAAGATCGGAGCATGCGAAGCGGCGTCGCGAGGCCGAGAGCATGGCCATTATCCTCAAAAAGGAGCTGGACATTCCGGTCATCGAGATCGAGGATCCGCATGCCCAGCTCGATGGTGGCGATGTGCTTTTTACAGGTATACGTTATAAAATGAAATCCTTTGTTCCCTTAATAAGCATTGTGTTAAATACATTAGGTCGCGAATTCTTCATTGGCATCTCCAGTTTTACCAACGAGGAGGGAGCCCGGGCGGTGGCCATGGCCTATCCCGAATATCCAGTGACGCCGATTCGGGTATTGTTATAATATAACTATTACTATTATTAACTAGCCATTAAAAGCTTTGTGGGGTTATCCATAAAGCACCCCTTAGGAATATTATTATATTTAATGCTGTAACCATTTGTGAACAGATCTAGCAAGACTCCCCTTTCGTTGTCGTCACGTTTCCGTTGTTCACCGCCCATTTAAATATCATCCATTTTATTTATCCCACACAGGTCAACGGCACCAAGAGGCTGAAGTACTATGTGACCATGGCGGGACCGGATGTGCTGTGTGTGAGCAGTAGCCCCACCTGCCAGGAGATCGTGAAGCGGATGGAGCGGGAGGCCAGCTTCACCTACCAGAAGTTGACTTTGCCCGAGGAGAGTGCGGCCAATATGCTGTACATCAACGGAACGATCGTACACAGATCGCCGGCGGAAATTCCAGAAGCCTACAAGGTCAGCATCATTCGGCCAACCCCTTCTAATTACACCCCATGCTAATTGATCTATCTATCAACGTTTTTCGGGCAGACTTTAAAAGAGAAAATCGACATTCCAACACGCAACATAAATATTAGTGAATTTAGCCAATATTCCAGTGGCCTGACCTCGTCGTGTTTGCTGCTGCGACGCTGGAAGTCCATACGGAGCTTGTGAATCCCTGGGAGCTGAGAGGATCACCTGACCGGAGTGAGAAGCATTGCCATGAGAACCATGCACAACACGCATCAGCAATATCGTATTATCTTATTATAGTTTATACACATCTCTTGTTATTGTTACGAATTAAGATTAAACCTTTAACGCTAATCAAACTGATCGTCGTAGAGATGACGGCGATGTTACTTTCCAGCCCATTGTTACCTTATAAGTTGTGTAATTTAATCAGAGTTGGAAAGTATCATCATCGTCGTCCAGATGATCGGCATTCCGAACTCACACTCCATGACGATGTTGAACGGATATCATTGTATTAATATGGTAAAATTGCTATTATGAATTGTATCTACTTTACAAGTAGCTTGTTGAATGTGTTCACTGTCTGTCCTCGAAATAAATGCAACATTTGTAATCTCTTTATAAACATTAAAATGTTTTGGTTATCGTTGCGAGAATCATTTGGGAAAGGTTGAAACTTTGCATACATACGCATATCTGTTAAACATAACGCCAGTTACTTTAAGTGAACATTTCATTTATTTATATCTAAATATAAACTTAGCCTACATTTAAATGCATTTTGCTTTATCAGAATTTTAAACTTATTCAATGAGTGTAGGACTTTGGGTGGCGGTGTGGTGATTTTTGTAGACATTGTAATGAATGATCGATAGCCTAGTGACCAGCTATTGGACTCTGGTTGGATGAAGTTTTCTCCGGTGAATGTGAAGCGTGGTGATCTTTGTGGAGTAATACTAGTCATAATAAATAGGGAGTCCTTACTATAATTACAAGTTCAGTTAGCTGGGTTTTGAGTGGCGAACTTAAGATATAAGCACTTCGGATATATATATATAATATTATATATATATCGGCGAGTGTCAGTGGGTTGGGTACATATCGTGGTACTGAAATACTTTGGAACTGGCGCGTAGATCTTTTGGATTGCCAGCCAAGCGGGAAGGCGGGTGGGAGGGTTAGGGTGTTATACAACTTGTATATATTCTATATACAACTAACTAGGGGTGGGCTGAGTGGGCCGAGCTAGCTGGGAAAGGGGCGTGGCTCGTTGGCTGCCCTGGGATCGATGTACGAGATCACGCTGCTCTGGCTGCTGTCATCCTCTATCGTCTCGTTGAGATTTTCGTTGTGGGAATTGCTCAGTGTCTTCGCTTCCATCTCCATCTCCTTCTCACGATCGCGCTCTCTCTCTCTTTCTCTTTCGAAGCGCTCGACGGCCTCCTGTTTGTTCCTCAACGGACTGCGGCATTTGATGGCCTCGTACAGCTCGTCGATGGAGGTGTCCTGGTCATGATCGTGATGGTGGTCCTGCTCGCCCTCTCCTGTCACCCTCTCGCCACCCGTGGCGGCCACAAACTCATCGTCGAACTCGTTCAGCACATCCACATCTGCGTCGCTGGCATTCGAGGATTGATAGCAGCGGAAGTCATCGGTTAGGGTCAAATTCAGATCGTTGTCCGCCTGGGGAGCATAGAGTCCATGGCTTCGGATGCTGATCTCCGAGTTTTGGTAGTTTAGATCGCTCTCGTTCGTCGGACTGCCGGATAGCAGGCGACCATCGTCCTCCGTATCCACCGTAGCCGCCGGATGATGCCCCTTTAGCTGGCTGAGATTGCTGCTGGAGCAGGAGTATATCTGACGCAACTGCTGCTCCTCCAGTGTGCTGCCATCGTTGACGGACAGCTGGCTGGACTCTTGCTGGTCGCCCAGGCTATCCAATCCGGTCGCGTTGACACCACCGCCTCCACCACCAGCCAGCATTTCACTGATATTATTCAGTGACTTGGACTGCTGCTGCTGACTGAAGCGGATAAGGACACTGGGAAAGTCATCGTCCAACTGGATGCTATTGCTGGTGGTAACCTGCAGCGAGTTGGACACGTATATCTCGTGCTTCTGGAGGAGCGGCTCTTCCAGGCTGACCTCCGGTAAGCCCAAACTATTCATGGCCTCCAAACTGGGCTGTTTGACGGGCGTGGAACTCATGGGTTGATGGGATGATCCTCGATTTCGGAACAGGCTGCTCATCCCACTGGCTGGTGGCAAAGTATTGGCATACAATGGTGCATGCTCGTCAAGGGAACTGGCGTCTTCCTCCTCCAGCTCATGCTCCGCTTCCTCCATCGTCGCCGGCGCCTGAGCATGCTCCTCCTCCTCCTCTTCATCGTCGTCCAGCTCGTGCAGCGTTTCATCCAACAGGGAAGGTGTTCTAGTGCGTCCATTGGCTCTCAATTTGATCACCTCATGCTGGGGAGTCAACGTCTCCGGGATGTTGGTGTAGATATTGGCCTGCATGATCTTGGACGCCGACGAGGCGCTGGCGGGCACAAAGCGCTTAAACTGCATGGAATCCCCGCCAGAACTAATGCCACCCATGTTTCCGTGTTCCTTGGGAGCTCCAGCCATGGGCGAGCCCTGATTCTTGTAGTGCAGATTGGTGTTATTTATCTTGCTGCCGCCGGCCAGCATTGTCATGGCATTGTGGTGCCTACTGTACAGCTGCTCCGAGCTGGCATCGCTCAAGCTGTGCTGGCTGTGGAGCTGCATCTGCATTTGCATCTGGAGCTGCATCTGCGGCATTGTCTGGCGCTGCAGCTCGAAGTTGTTCCGCTTGGCCAGGCGCTTCTGCTTCTTGAAGAACTTTCGGGCCACGTTAATCTGATTGGGATTGTAGAAGATCTCCGCCGAAGGTATGAGATCGTGACTGGAACCATGGAGCAGGGCGTTCAGGCTGTGCGGTGGGACCGGTGCTCCACCTGAGCCTGAAACTCCGCCAGCTGCTACACCACCTCCTCCACCCTGCGGACCGCTGGTGTTGTTAATTATTGTTACGCCGCCTGCTCCGTTGGCCTGAAGCAGCTGCTCCTGCTGGCTCCTCGTTTGACTCCTCGTCTGGCTGCGCATGCTCCGCGAACACTGGCTATTCGAACGCGAGCCCGCCGAGTTGTTGGCGTCGTACAAGCTGCCGGGTCCGGGATTCGCCTTATAGGCTACAATGGAGTTGCTAATCATTGCGGTACCGGGTCCAGGCATCATACTCGATGGGTGAGCACCCCTCGCCTGGCTGCCATTGTTGTAGGTTACCAGTTTCGCAGGTATGCTGCGTCCGTCTCTGCCCTGCGACCAAGCCTGGCGGGCATCGTTTCTGCTTAGGTTGTAGAAGATCAGCAGGAAGATGCCCAGAACCGAACAGCAGCCGGCGAAGGATAGAACATATAGCTCCTGGCCACCATTCACGTAGGCAGCGGCGGATAACCAGGCGCCAGCATACAGGACCAGGAAAATGAAGTGACCACGCAAGTGCGAGAGATTCGAGCGTTCGAAGTCGTCTACAATGCTGCTCAAGGGATTGCTCAGCGTGCTGTACTGCTCCTGCATGTGATCCTGCTCCTTGCGACCACCATGATTGCCAGAGCCGCCTCCGACCGCCGCTGTGGTGGCACTGCCATTCGCATCCAACCAATCCAGATCGATGTGCTCCGTTGCCTGGGTATTGTTGTCCGAATACTGACGATTCTGCTGCTGTTGCATTTGCAGTTGCAGCACATTCACCGCCTGCTGACTCAGCTGGTAGTAGATGCACAGAGCCAAAATGCCGCAGAAAATCACAAGAATTACGGCTGGCACAAGGAGAGCATTCAATGTGGTGGAACTGTGCAGGAAACAAAAGTCGTAGGTTGCATACTCCGCCAGATTCACGGCACTGCTAATGCCGCAGATGAGCAGCGCGATGCCCCAGCCCACCAGGTAAATGCCCAGAATGGGTTTTCGCTCTCGCTCCCTCTGCGGCTCCATATCCTGACCCGGGCTTTGTCCCTGCCCGGATGTTGTCGTCTTGGTCAGTCGCTTGTACATGCTACTCAGGCTCACACAGACCCATAGCAGTACGCACAGCCCGAGGTAGTGCATCAGCAATCCCAACAGACGGCACTGGGGCTGACTGGCCGTTTGGTAGATGCCCAGCGAAAAAGCCAGAGCCAGTGCACCCAGGGCCAACCAGGTGTTGACCAGAGCATGCCGCTGCACCCTGTTGATTCGCACAGCTCTACCGAAAACAGCAAAGGTAACCGCATTGAAGGCGCAGCAGGCGAAGAGCAGACCGCATCCAGCATAGACTGCAGCTGGTGGATGTCGGAACCGTGCGCCCGACTCCTCGCTGCGGAAATCATTCAGATAGAGGCTCCTCTGCAGCAGGCCGTAATATCCGGTGCGACTGCAACTGAACATGACCAGAGTGCGATGCTGGTAGTGCTGTTGGCAAACGCTCGTCTCCCAGCGCTGCTCCTCCGCGTCCCACCAGGCGGGTTGAGGCGCACTCAGTGGATTGTGATACGGGTGAGCTCTCAGCATCACTGTAACCCTTTGCTGGTACACATCCTCCTCCGGATCTAGCTCGGTATCGGCCCTAAACTGCAGGGCCTCCCCTTCGCTGCTGTACGCCAGTATTCCTATGATGGCGGAAGACAAGGATTCATTGTGGCTTCCTCGCAGATTTGGCAACAGCTTGCCATTCCTGTGCAGCGAGATCATCAGGCGGAGACTTCGGATTGTCGATGTAGCTGGCAAGCTGGCGGAACTATTTCCAATTACGCTGTAGGGCAGTTGGATTGCGGCATCGATATCGCCGTGCTCGTACATGGGTATCGTATCGTTGGCACTGTTGCACTGGAAGCCCCGTGGGCTTTGCTCCAGCCAAACACATGAGAGGCTTACGAAGGCATCCATGCTGATGTTAAAGAACTCGACGAATAGGTTGCGTTGCTGGGCAAGCGATCCTCGCCAGGGTATCATCTCCGCGGGCAGCGGTTCCGCCTGGGTGCTGGCCAAGGCCAGGCGCATGGCCGAGGATTCCACCACGTGAAGCAGCCGCTGGCCAGTTCCCTGCTCGGCTTGTGCGGCTCGAAAGAGATGCGCGGGCAGGTTAAGCAGTTGCGAAACAATGTCCATCAGCAGGTGACTTATCTCTTGCTGTTGCTGCGGCTGCTCCAATTGGTCCAAGTACTTGACCAACGTGCGTGCAATGTACTCCAAATCCATGGGATCTCGTATGCGATTCAGCTGCGTCTGCGCTTGCGTAAAGTTGTGCAAACGGCGCGCAATCTCCAGAGCATTCTGGCCCTTCGTCAGGGTAAGATTCACCTTGGCGAACTGCTCTAGGATGCGAGTCGTCTCGCTGACGTACACACAACTTTCCGTATCCAAGTTTAGCCACTCACCCGACGGTCCGCACTCATGCGACGCACGCCGAGCTTGCGTGACATCGCTGGGCTCCTCTACGCACTCCTGCAGCACAGTCTCGCCCCGCATCGTCCTGGGCCAGTGGTAGGTGCCCTTGTTCGTGTGCACCACGCGGGCCTCGCAGTAGAGCGTACCCTTGGCCACCACATGCAGAACGATGGCCTGCGATAGATTCGCCTGCTGGCTGCGCAACGTACAATCCCACATGCCTGTGTGATTCTGGGTTAGGCTGGCGATGCGCAGGATCGATTGCAGGATGCCCGAGTCTGTGGAATGGCGCGTCTCCAGGTTGACATCTCCAAAGACCTTGGTGGGATCCTGGTAAATAATGTCCTCGGTGGAGTTTTTGGCTCGTATCTTTTCCGACCAGCCCCAGAACACATAGGCCTTTGTGGGCAGATCCTCGCTCTCCCTGGGCACACCAATGGCAACCCGTGGGGCATGGCACTTCAGCTGCAGTTCATCGCCCTCAAAGGCCACCTGATTCTGGCTGGGAATCAGCTCGAGCAACGGTTGCAGTAGCGTCTCGCAATGAAAATCCTTTCCCACGCGCAGTTTCTTTAGCGGCATACCTCGGAAGTTGCCGGGCGATTCGCATTTTGGGGGCGGCTGGAGGCGAACTTCGCGGCTGCTCGACCAGGCAATCAACCATATCAAGCCGCAATCGCAGGCCAGCGGATTTCCAGATAGATCGCTGTGAGAAAATGAAATCAATTAGAACGTAATAACTTTACGAAATAGTGCCTAAATTGGACTGTGAATCATTGTCAAAGTGATTAGAATACATATTCAACTTACAGCAGCTTTAGCTTGGGCATTTTGTCAAAGGTGCCCTCATAGATGTGGCTAATGGCATTGCCGGCCAGCTTCAGCTTCTCCAGATGCGCCAGACTATCACCGAAGGTGTCTTTGTCCAGTTCGGTGAGCAGATTGAACGACAAATCCAGGCGTTTGAGTTCCGTAAAGTTCCTAAAATCCTCGGCGGTAATCTGTGCAATTGAGTTCTTGCTGGCATTGCTATAAGAAAAAGTGAGTTATTTTCATGTTAGAAGAGCGCAAGGGGAAGCTATCGAGGCACTTACATGCTGACAATGCTGGTCACATCCTCTCCAAAATCCAACTCCCGCCAGTTGGTTATCTGCTGCTCATCGCAGCGTATCTTTAGGCTGTGTATGTTTTCGGCTGTACTGCGGCAGCTGCACTTCCGTGGACAAGATAACGCTGTTCCTGGTCCTGTTGCGATGCCCGATTCTGGGATTTGGGGAAGCTCCGTATCTAGATTCGTCTGCATCGCCTGGCCCCCCTCTGCTGCAGTCGACGTCGCCGTCGCTGTCGCTGTCGACGTCGGCATCAGATTTAGGAAGAACAACAACAACAGCAGCAAAGGGAAAAGGGGGAGGGGCAGCGGTGGATTGCTTGATGATGGAGAATGAGGAGGAGGAGGAGAAGGGGGAAGATCTCCACGCCCCTCTTTCGTTTGGCCGCCCATTTGGATCGATGCGATTGATTACATGCCGGGCGCAGGAAGCGCACATTTAATTAACAATTTCGAATTTAAGTAAACGCATTATAAACAACAACAATGATACACTGCACTTTTTTGTATAAACTAAAAAAAAGTGCTACGCTCAGTGTGACCGCTGCACTTTCGATAAATAATACCGCCCGGTTGTCAAAAATACCGAAAATATAAAGGTTGTTGGTGATGTATCGATATATTGGTAGGCGATATATCGATAATTTTGGTATGCGATATATCGATAATTATTGTTGGTAGCTGATGTGGTGCGTTACCTGGCTATTTATGGAGAAAAATTTGAACTATTTAAAAAACTGTTCATTCAAAAAATCAAATTGGGGAAGTTATGAATATTCCTAATCCCTACAATCGGGTAATACTCTCCCCAATTTAAGCTAGTCTATGGCTAAATTAAGTATACATATATTTTAAGTATAATATAGTATACCTGCGCTATACTATACCTGTAAGCCAAAGAAAATAGGTCTACACCCATTTAATGTCACCAAAAGGGCCTGTGTTCAATTTAAAATAAGTTTATTTTGAGCCAACTAGGCGGTTTGGTTTCGTCCGGGTTCATGACCCTACCGCGCCGCCGCACAACCAACGTAATTATGCAAAAAAAAAAGAAGCACACGCACAAACAAACATTGAGATTACGAAAAACTGGTTTCCTTCTTTAAAACTTAGAGCTATTTTTGAATGCTGCCTAAACGATCAGTGAGGGGGGGTTTCCTCTGGAAGGGATAGAATCTAGCGAAGCTAGGGTTCTATGAGCTGACCAGCCCCTACGCCAGCTTGCCATTGTGCGCCTCGCGATATTTGGAAAGCTTGTCCATGTACTCGTCATGCTGCTCCAAGGTGGCCAGCAGACCCTCCTTATTGACTGGCGATTCCCCTGGTCCGTAGTTGATCAACTGGTCGTTCAGTGTGGTCATTGTGCCGCCCAATGCGTGCAGAATGGCATCGCCGGCGCAAATGTCCCACTTCTTGATCTTGGACGTGTGCAGATAGGCAGTGGCATTGTTGGCCACCACCTGGAGCACCTTGTAGCCAGCTCCCGCCGCCGTCAGCAGGCTGACTTCCTCGCCAAAGATGCCCCTCGCTAGATCCTTGGCTCCCGCCGTATGGGATCGCGACACTGTGATAATGGGCGCCTGATGGTTTGCCGAATGCCGCGGATGCAGATTGGACAGGTACTCGGACATCGAGTTGCCCACCCACGCCCAGGCTGTTTGACCATTGAACGGGCTGTGGATCACGCCGATGATGGGCCTTCCGGCCACCGCCACGCACACCATGGTGGTCACGTACTCGTACAGCTCCTCTGTGGATTGAAACAGGAAATTTTAGCTCCAGAACAGATAAAGTGCACCTGAACAAACAGGCTATTATATAAAATAAATAACTAGAGACGCCAGCCTCACCGGTGAACTCCTTGGTGGCATCCAGCGGATCTACCCAAACAGTAACATCTTGCGCATTTACGGTCACATCCGGAATCTGTGCGGTTTCGTGGAGGACCGTTGGATCCAGATCATAGCCGTGCGCCTGCTTGCAGTGCTCCTTGTCCTCCTCGGAGAAGATTTGTACGCGGGGAAAGATTCGCTGGAGGCCCTGCTTCATCACACAATGTGACCTGCCGTCGGCATCTGTGAACGGATCATTGACGCCCTCGTCCGTCTTGCCCTTGCTGCGCTCCTTAAGCTGGCGACTCCGGGCCACGTCTAGAACTTCGAGCCCGCCACGCTGAGCGGCCTGTATGGCGGCGATAAGCATCTTGCGGAGATTGACGCGGTTGGGATTCTCACTCCTCAGCATACCGTAGATCGCCGGCCGCTCCTCCTGATGGAAATTGAGAAAATAGACCAGGAAAATGGTCAGAATAATGGCCACAATGGTGGCCGGCAGCCGGTGGATGCGAATGGAGCGTCCGTTCATCTTGGCCTCGCTCATGGATCGCCCGATTTCTCTATATATTTAATTTATGCTATATTCTAAATACGCGAGTAACAGTGTGCTGTCGTATTTGCCAGATCACCACATTGAGATCAAACCAGATGTTGTATTGAAAAAACCCTCACAAGAACTGAAACGAAAAACACTTGATGGCGCGTCGGTGGGTAAGGACGGCGGGGGCGGGGGCGAGGCACAGGTGTTTCGTTCTGCTCTTCGTGGAGAGGGGGAGCACAGGTGAGCTATGCTCGGTGCCGATCTGTTCTATCCACGTCCACGTTGCGCGATTTTTCCCCCAAAATCAGCCCCAAACAAAACCAAACAATAACAAACTAGAGTTGGCACTAAGTCGATAATCACTATCGATACAATCGGAACAGCGAAGTTGAGGGAAGCTCAGTAATAGTGAAGATCAATGGTATCAAATTATTTAATTAAATTTTTATATTAATAATACGCATAGCTTGACCCCAATGTAGTCAATAATATCGATATATGGCAATAATCGATATATAATACGAAACTGGCTGTCAGTGTGACCGGCAAAATGATGTTACCAAATAATAGATCGTTTGTACAGTGCATTTTTAATACAGTCAATTGTATTGTAAATACAAAATTATGATTTTAATTAGATTACCTAACTAAAGGAAAAGACCACCAGCTGCGCCATTGCATTAGTAATCGATTAGTCAAGATAAACATCGATATTTCTAACTTATTGTCAACATCGATAGTACCGAACATCGATAGTACCGAACATCGATAGTACCGAACATCGATAGTACCGAACATCGATAGTACCGAATAGATATCGATGTAGTTCCATCTCTAATAGTCGTGGAATTCGGAACATAAATTTGTATTTTTTACGTCGCGTCGCCCCAGAAAGTCCGATCCAAAAGCAAATCGCGCGTTTTCCAAAGAATAACCCCGAAAATTTCGAAAATAATAATTTTCTTGTTTTTTTTTTCTGTTTTCCTGCGGCAATAATTCCATTTTTTTTCGTAACATCAAAACAACAACAACAAGAAAAGTGCGTGCGCGTGCAGAAGCGAAAAAAAACGAATAAATTGTGGGCGAATCAACAAGCAAAAGAGAATGAGCGATGATGAGGAGAAGAGGCAAAAAAAGCAGAGGCAGTTGTCGTAGTACTAGTACCAAAAAGAAACTGCGAAAACTGCTAAAGTGACAAAAACAACGCCAACAACAACAAGTAACGAAAAATAAAAGGAAAAGAAGGTAAAAAGCAAAACGGAGAATAAAAATAAGCGCAAAAATATACGTCTACAAAAAAGCAGCAGCAGCAACAACACAAAAATTAACTTAAAAAAGTCGTGAATATATATACATATATATATATATATATATATATAAATATCAACACACACACATAGAGTGAGAGCGAGAGAGCGTGCGTTATTTATTTTATATTTTCGTTAATCATTTTTCGCATTTTGTGAAACAAGTTGGAAAAGCGACAATACAAAATACAACAGCAACAACAATAGCAGCAGTAAGCAGTTTGCACCACTTGAAAGAGGTATTTATGTTTATTTGTTTGTTTGTCTTTGCCCCGTGTATTCTTATTAGCAGGCGTGGAGGCACAACATATTCCTATTAGATCAGCCAGGCTTCTTTTTCGTCTGTCTTGCTCCTCACTCGATTCGCCGTTATTTATGTAACAAGTGTGTGCGTGCTAAATGAAGTGCTCGCGCTCTCTTCTTCCCCCTCTCTCACAACTGTTTCTGTTGCTCTCCCGCTCGCTCTTACTCTTTGCATTTGATGATTTGATTTTTTTCACTTAGTAAAGTTGCTGCAAATGTGGCTGCCACCCAAAAAAAAAAAAAAACAAGAACAACAAAAAGAAAATGAAGCAAAAATAAATAATAAAAGCTCCACCGCAAAGCGCATTGAACTGGTTTATGTTGTGCTCGCTTCATCTGCTCTCCTCCTTCCTTTGCTCTACGTCCCCTCTCCTACTTCTACTTCTCTCTTCTTGGTTATCAACATGATGCCAGAAAAAATATAAAACAGTAACAAGAATAACAACAAAAGCAACGGCCACAGTATGGAATTTGCGGATCTTTTGTTGTTGTTTCGTTTGCTTTGAGCCGGAGTTCTCATTCTTCTTCGATCTCCCTTCGCCTCCCCCGCTGATCTATTTATTCTCCTTTTTATTCATTTACCCACCTACAGTGGGCACTCATTAGGCACTCTTGTATTTTAATACGAATCAAATTTGACAACAATTTGAAGTTATAGCACCGTAAAATTTTTACTAGAAAATTTCTTAAATAATCTTATAAATTAAACCGATCCATTTTATATTTAAACAAATCCATATTGTTCTTGTAATGTAAAAGCCCATTTGAAAGTATACTTAAATAATTAATAAAATGTGTAAAGATAAATCTAAATAACATATATATATTTTATTGCTTGCATCATTTTTGATCTATTTTGTTTGAAAATGCTATCTTTTCGGATTTATACGACTTAAAACTAGGATTACAAATAATTCTGAGGGAAATTTGCCAACAGTATTAGTATTTTTTTATGATTTAAGTGCTTCTGTCGTCTCAGTGGGAAACACGCATTTCTATCCCACCATGCATCCCACTGATAACTATAATTAGTTTAATATGAGTGACCACGATAAATAGAGGCTGCCAACTTACTCTTCCCCCCAAATGAATTTGTTTATTCTGTACATTTAAATTAAGGCAGTGGAAAGTTTTCTTTTTGAGCTAAGATTAAACCGTATTGACAAAAGGGATTCTAATTTACAAGTTAAATTGATTGTTAGTGGCAACAATTTTATTTAACCAAGATACCAGTGTGATTTCTTGCTTATGTATTTTCTTGCAGTAATATTTCTTAATTAACTTAATTCTATTAAAGTCTGGCCTCTAATTTACTCAGGTTTAATCTATTGTCCCGGCGTTATTATCTATTGTTTTAATAGGGAAATGCACAAGGAAACCACACAACTAATTTCTTTGTTTTTATTGACTTTTCTATGAATCATTGTTTGTCTTAATTGAAACTCCCCGCAAGATGGCACTGTGGTCATTGCCTCATAAGTTTTTACCTTACATATACATATGTACATACATATATACATTCATACATGCATATGTACATATAACCAAATGTTTCCCGCCAATTAAATTGACCGAACTCAATTTATAAAAACTTTGGCCAGAGTGACCTTGATTTTATTTTTGTTACCGTTTGTTTACGAGCTCCTATGGTATCCTTCTTCCTTTGATTCTTCAATGGCACGAGGTTTTTTTTGAAATGAATTGTTTGAATTATTTATGAATATACTCGCATGGTTTGGTACTTAATTGGAACCGATTTAACGGTAATTTATTTACAATGCAATTTCTGGCATTTGGGTTTCTGTTTTCTGGTTGCTGGTGGCTTTTGTTCTATTTGCTCGTGTAATTAGTGAACGGAAATTGTTTTGTGCGTCACTTATGTATGTACATACGCATATGTGTGTGTGCGTGGTGTTTGTGAAGGTCAATGGATCAACTTGTTATCTTTTCTTTTTTTAAATTTATTTGTTCGACCACGCCCCCAAATAAGCGCGCCTAGAAAAAACATTTATGTAAATTATTTCCGATCAGCAAAAATTCCCCTATGAAGTGCTTCCGACTGTAAACAAACTAGAAATAAAAACAAGAAGAGACAAGAGAAACAAACAAGAATTCATTTTTACATATGTATGTATGTACATATTATTATCGGAGTTCCGAAAATGACAATAAAAATTTTCCAAAAAATTCTTGCCTTATCAGGCACTTGTTTTTTCGGTTTATTTTTCCATGTTCGCTTTCTGCGAATTAACTTTGAATGAAATTTTCGTTTTGAGGTCCCTGGAAGAATCATTCATCTTGAAAACATACGTTCATATGCATTTACATACTTACATATGTATGTGCAATCTGTTAATTGTGTTTGTTTAAGGAAGTGCGGCATTTCCCCATGGGGAACGATTTTTCACCAAATGACTCAGCATCATAAAGTTCTGATAAAGTCTATAAGTTTTAAGATTACAAGGAACGCACTTGGTTTTTATATTGAATAAATACATACGTTTGTATTGTGTTGTAGATATTAAAACATAGTTCTGTATGTTGTTATCTTTGTTTTAGATAACTGGCGACCTCAAAGAATTTCATGTAAATGTTTATTTTGTTTGTTTCTTTTTGTGTTTGTCGAGTATTTATGATTATGGGAGACTAGATGTTGCTCGGGCCACAAGACTGTTCTATTAGATAATAAAGCAAATCTTTGTAAAATTGTTCAAATTAATTTTTTTTTGCATATTGTTTAATTTGTTTTTCTGATTTGTTGCAGGTTCCGCCCTCCCCCAATTCCATATGCAAAATGTCTAGTCCCGACGATAGAATACCAATACACGGTAAGTGGGAAAGAAGGACCCTGTTTCATAGTTAAACTGGTTAGTTGGTTAAATTTAGTTTAGGGCAGTTAACATTGTGGGTTGTTCATATGTAACATGCATATAGCTGTAGCTATAGCTATGGCATTAACAACATTCGGAATACATAACTCAAAATGTACACAGACCACACGCACACATGCTCAAACAAAAGCTTACACAGTATGTGTGGGTGTGTGTTTGTGTGCTAGTGTGTGTTGCCTTCCAAAAATAACTGTAATAAGCACATACACAAAAGCGGGCCAGAACTGCGCTGCCAATGGATGATGCACATTGGTCCGAAGATGGCAAATAACGCTATTCAAAACCCGAAGAGAACAGGTTGGTCCCACCAAACGAAGTTGGATAGTAAAAGTGTTCTAAAGCTGACAGTTGGCCACATTAAAAGATTGATATTCAATGGGAATTAAAAGGAAGTTGTAAGTAAACATAATTAGATAAAAATTTCGTAACATGATAAAGGGGAATTACAGTATCAAGTGATTAAAAAACCTAAAACCTTTTAACATGCTATCTTAGCCCAACTTTGGCACGTTTTTTCGCCAAAGAATCAGTTAGGCATTCACCATTTTTATTGATTTAAGCCATTCAGCTAGCGAAAATGTAGGCAAATGTTTAGGCGCCCTATTTAGGTCGATAACAATGACTCAAACTATTCACAAAGTAACCGAACTTTCAATTTCAATTGTATATTTTTCCATGTGGCAGATGGGGTATCCAAATTTTGATGAACACAAAGCACATTTCACCATCTCGGGAGCAACTTCTTTGCCAGCTGTCAATCAAATCAGTTAAATATTTGCACAGCTTGAACCACTGTTCGTTTGTTGCTCCTCTCATTGGGTCGTCGGAGGAGGGGGGGTTGTTTCTCTGTACAGTGGGACCTACTAACTTTTTGTCCCGGGCAAGCCCAGAACAACAACAAGAACATTGTCCATGGTCGTCAACGTTGCTTTCGTCTCTTTCACGGCAAACAGAACTGAACCGAATAGATATGGATGGGTGAAAATTAAGGGGGTGGTTGGGATTCATTTTCACCAGAGCTGATGCATATCACACTTTAAAGTAAACCACTTACTTAACAGAAGTTGTACCATCATGTGTCTGATTCTTTTGTTGAACATTTTTCTATCGACGGCTCAAATTTAACTCATCGAAAGCTAAGCTTTCTCTAAGGATATTATCAGTATCCTTACTATTAAATTTTGTTTTAATGTGATTCTCGAAACATTTATTTGTTTATTTATTCCTCGTTATCTTAACATAAATTAAATGAATTATTTGTTAACTCTGTTCCAATCTTATTTCAGTAGATTTTTTCATGCAAATTTTTTCAGCAGGTGTTTTTAAGTAGCCAAAAATAGCCAACTGCACAGCACTAATCGTGACCGTTTTTCTTTTTGGCCATCCATCGAAACCACTGCCAATGCCAAGCACGTGGATGGACTGGAAAATGGGTGGCAAAAGTGGGTGGGTGGGTGGTGTAGAAAGCGAGAAAGCGGGTGACCGAATGGGCAGTGGGTGGTCTGGGTTCAGATGGTTTGGAGCCCCGTAATCTTCGCTTCGTGCTCAGCTCTCTCGCTCCACGATTCTCCTGCTCGTTTTCTCGTTGCTGCTCTCCCCGTCTGTTTGTTTGCAACAACCAAAAAGAAAAACATTCGTTTATCGATTTTCGTCTATTTTTAGACACAAAAGCAACAGCAACAACATTTACTACTTGCCTTTCAAATGGATGGTGTAAGTGTGTGTGTCTGTGTATGTGTGTGGACTGTTGACTGACGGCCGGACCCGGAGACCAACCCGTAAAGCCCATGAAATCCGGAGACCCGGGCCACGTATTTCCTCCTCCCTTATTTTGTTTGGATATTTATCCCTCCCCGTTTTGTGTTTGCCACGTGAAATCTACGAACGAGTCCGGCGATTCCGGGCATTCTCTATACTACTCCATAACCATTTTCCAATGCCTCACCAGGATATGGGCTTAATTACTGTGCCGAAAATTCCGGAGTGAGGCACTTTCCCCGTCGTCCAAGTCCTGCTGTTTGACATCGATATGCCATTAGAAATTCACGAAAATTACATTTCCCTTGGAACGGGCGGCAAATGGGTGGTGAAAATCGTTGCATTAATTATTTGGAAGTGCTGCCTTAATAGAGTGGCTATTATTCAAATCTTATTCAACACTTATTCAACCGGATATAGACCATGCAAATTTTTCAAGGTCAAGGGTCGATTTAAAATTAGCTCACCTTCATTCAAGGAATTGTTGGGGAACTTGTCCTCTGATAATAGCAACGTTGAAAACTCAAGTATATTTAATTAGGTGAAATTAACGCATTTGTTGTCCAAGGCCTTACGAAAATTTTTGTTGTTTGTCATTAAAAATAATAAAACCATTATTAACTCTATAATATTTAATATTAAAATAATTAAATAATCCGTACATCTAATTAGAAGAATTCTTTGCATTATATACTTAATTTAATTTCAAAGTGAAAATATAAACTCCAATAAAGTATATTTGTTTTCAACCTTCTTAAACTGTAAACATTGACTTGCATAAAATATGTGCATATACGTAATTTTATTCAGAACATGATGAATGAACATAGATCTACGCAGTTTTCTTTAATGTGTCTACCCAGCGTTTTCCCGAATATTTCCTGCGATTAATAGTGTTTTCCGTATTGTGTTGGCCTTCTTTTGATATTAAACATTTGAGGAATAATAATTATATATAGAAATTAATTGCCCAGGTTTGCATTTTGCAGCATGTGGGTCAGAAATTGATTGTCTAAGACGCAATACGTGAAAAGTTTTTACCTTTCTGCTATTGTTACTCTTTATTCTAATGCATTGTGAAACACGCAGCACCTGTAGAAGGTCATGCCCCTATACCCCTCTCCCCCCGCCTGTGCCACCTCTTCAATAAAAACCCTCACTTATTTTGTTTCCTCCGGTGCCTGTGGAGTATTTATTGTAATGGCATTCCAAGAATAAAACTTACTTCGCCGTTTGGGTTCTTTGTGTGTCTCACAGTGTGTTTGACCTGTTATATAAAATCGTTAGGGCTTATGTATCGCCCTTGTAACCCGGCCCCCCAATCCACCATCCACCCCAAACCCCCACCGGAAAACCTCGCCACGCCACTGTCTTCACTATGGGGTAATCATATCGAAAGCAGCGCCACTGCGTTATTTATTCATTTCATTCACCCACGGCTCTACAGTATTAGTCGGTGGAAAGGAAAGTATCTTGTAGGTCCTGCATTTTGCCACGAATTGGATGAGTCATTTCAGGAAATAGATCTAGCACTTCTGTTGTGCCACCATCTTTAACGAAAAACTATGTAGTTAAATCGTTATTACTCGAAACCTAACTTCTATAACCTAAATATGGAACTTTTGCTAATGGATAGGAACTACCTATAAGTAAAGGTAACTACCAAACAACTTTTTGACTTCTCAATTTGTCAAGGTAAGCCCATAAAATTGGGGTGTTTTCATGTTTTGGGGGGATTTTTTCTATAAGTTTTAAGTGGTGTAGCCTAGAACTTTACGAAACAAAAAAAAAACAAGGAGAACGTTTGGTCGGCGTTCGCATTTGTTTTCTTCTTGGCCTGGCCCAAAAGTTTAGCTGTTGTTGTTTCTATTTTTAGAATGCGCGCGCTGGAAATTTACCCACACAATACAAATGCAAAGGCACACACAAACACACACTTACACACACACACGGAAACCTTGCTATCACTCAAAACAAACTTATTGAGGAAGGAAGAAGAGAGCGAGAAAGAAAAAGAGAGAGGAGTGGGTGGTTGGGTGTTGCAGGGGCAGGCGGTGAGGTGAATATCAAGCTGCTCTCTCGTTCTCACTCTCTGTTGTCGTATCAATTTCCAATTGAATTTCAGTTTCAATTTCAATGACAGCAGTGCCCTCTCCATAAAATTTTATACCGTTTTTCGTTTTTTTTTCCTCCCCCCCACCCGCCATTCTGTTTTGCGGCCACACACATACACGTGCTTTTGTTTTTGTTGTGTCATTTGGTTGCCTGGTTTCCATGTCAACACACAAATTGACCTTGAAGTCGAAAAAAGAAAAAAAAAATGTGCCCAGAAGGGGAGTTTCTGTTTAGTGGGAGGAAGACAGACAGAATCAGAGAGAGAGAGGAAGGGAGGGCGAGAGTGGGAGCGCGCTACGCATTTACTTTTATTTTAACGGCATTGTTGAAACAAAACGAAAACAGCTGATTGCAAGCCAGCCTATCTCTCTCCCACCTGATGCACCTGCACTGCGCTCTGGCTATCTCGTTTTATCGCTTACCCTGTAAATCTTTAGTGGGGCAAGTTTTGTGGGATCACAAATACATTGCAAGTATGCAAATTTGAATTAGCAGTGAATGTTTTAACTTTAGTCAGCTTTTCTTGATTTATTTTATATATTCAGCGAAAGAGAATCAAAGAGTCGTCATTGTTCTTGTTATTTTCTTTCAATTCGCATGAAATTTCAATTTGAGTTTTGTCTTCACGTTTTAAGTTCACACGACACTGCACAAACAAATGTACATACATACATATGTAATGTCGGTTTTGTTTTTGTTTTCCTTGTTATTTTATCTTGTTTCACATTTTGCACTTGTTTTTCTGAGCTTTGTGCAATATGCACTGCTGTTATTTCTGTGCCTGTAGTGGTAGTTGCAGTATGTGTGTGTGTTGCCACTTCTAAATATACTCCGCAAAGCCATGCACGATTTATAAAGGCGGCTAAAAATAGAACGGCAAAGCAGAGCGGCAAGCAGCGCAGCAAGCAGCGCAGCAGGTCACGGCCTGTTCAGTTAGATATGCACTGGCACACACACTTGCAGGCACGCCCACAGCGGCGGCCACAATGATAGTGATCAACCTAAAGGCCTGAAATATTATAAGCATGGAAAACAATTACAATGTTTTTTTGGGCATTGGGCCTTTTATTGGGTTACATAAATATAAGGTGTTTCCCTAATTAACTTAAACCAAATATAGTTTTATTTAATTGAATTTTGTATTTGATAGAGTTAATTTAGTTCGATTTAAGTGTAGCATACATATTTACAAGCACTACGCACATTCGTTTCTGCTTTTGTTTTGTTGCTGTTTTTGGGCTTTGCTCTTTGTTGTTCTATTTTTAGCTTCGTCACATAGCCCAATATTCAATTGAAATCAATTTCTAGACCAAAAAACTCGACTTTGCTGATTAGATCAGCGCAGTACTGAAAAAGAGATAGGGAGAGAGAGAGAGAAAAAAGCAGAGAGAAGAATAATTACTAATTGGACTTTTCGGTTAGTCATCTCTGCATTCTTATTGGCGCGCAATTAGTCCAGTGAAAGAAAAATTTCCGCTCTCTCACTTTCACCTCTCTCCGTTGCAAATATTTATCAATGAAATATTTTCCAACCGATTTTTCGTGATTTTCACAACGCTTTTTATCATTTTTCAGTGGCAGCCAAGAAAAAAAGAAAGAAAGAAATAAAAGTTATGTTAAGCGTCACGTGCGACAAAATATGAAGAAATGTGTAGAGGAAATCGTTGTAATCGCTGTTAACATACATATACTGTACAAGGTTACTAAAAATAGTCGGTGCACTTAGAAAAAAGGACCACAGCCTTGTTCCACATTCGTAAATGTTGTGTGAAAAGTATATATTTTTTTCAGTTTGTCTACTTACAAATATGTCTTAAAAATTATGAATTTTAAAAGAAATTGCATTTGAAAATATGAATAAAAATGTTTGACGATTTTTTGCTAGTGTACACACATACACTTAAGAACACCAACAATCGAGGTCCAACGCGTTGACTAAATACGTTTTAGATTTATTTTTAAAAGCGTCTGATAAGCGCGGCCTTATCTACATAATCGGTTCGGAGAGCGAGTCACACCTCCTCCAGATCTAAATATATATGTATGTATGTATGTACATGCATATATACACGAGGTTTATAAATGTAGCACATATGTACATACATAAATATGTATGCATATAGAATTTATAGCAATCTATATCCCTCTCCAAAACGATTCAATTTCGCTCGCTCAGTTGTGTGTTTACATTGTCAATTCGCAGATCTGCCATCAGAAGCCGGAAGCGATGAGCGATTGCTGCACATAACGCCGGCCACTCTGACATTGGACTTCAAGCCCCATCCCGCCGTGGATATCGATCAGCAGATCATGGAGGTGAGTGTACCCCCACATCGATTGGGGAGCCATGATGAAATAGCTAGCTATGTATGTAGATTGTTTGGTTCCGGCGGGTTCGCCCATAATACATCACATCACATCACATCATATGAAGAACCAGAACTTTAATTAAATCATTGGAACATAAACTGGATTTTATTGAAATATTTGCATATATCATTACGTAGTTTAAAGAATGTTTACGAAATTAGATCGTATGGGTTGTTGTTTCCATGGAAAGATATATGTAGAAAAAGTCAACAGGGTTATCAATATTTCAGAGCCAGTTGGGTTTGTATTATCATCGTTATAAGCGTCATTAGTAAATTTTCTGAATATCTCGGTGACTACAGAATACAGTTATTTAATAGTATGGTAGATTTATAAATTGGGAAATTCTTCAAGAACTTACCAAACTCTATAGGATATTTTTCTAAGCTTTGACCATTCTGGACCAATTTTCGTATCGCTGGCCAGCTTTTTTTAGTCCAGTATCTCCAGCTGGTTTTTTCACATTTCCCTTCATTTTTTCATCTTGTTTTATTTCTGTTGAGCTTTTTCGCCTTCCGCTTTATTTATACATTATTCGCCTGGCTCTTCTCTTTTGTATGTATGTATGTGTATATATGTGTGCGTGTGTGTGTGTGTGTGTGCGTGCCCATGCGATGCTGCTCCTCTTGTTGGGAGTCTAAATTTAAACGCGTGTACAACTTAATGATTCTATATTTATTGTTTTCACTACGAAAATATGTATGAGTTTTTGCGCATTTTTTAAATAAAATCATCTAAAAATAGGCAGAAACCGAGTCAAGAGAGCCGCAGAGAGAAATGTCGGAGAAGATGTGCCAGTGCCAGTTCAGAGGATATATAGGTATCCCTGGCTATAATGGACTATATTGGTGTTCAAAATGTTCCAAGAAAATAAAGTCATTTTTTGGAATACATAGCACATAGGTTTATTTGTAAAGTAGTATTATAAATATTTAAACAAAAAGCCCATAATAAATAGAAACAAAAGGCCGTAAATCAAAATAGGAGATATATTATGTACCTTTGAATGTTATTATTTGAATGTTATATATTTTATACAAGGGTATCAGTTCAATATATGTGCAAGTAGGCTGCTAGCGGGTGCTTACTGTACCCCACCAAGTGATTGGCTTCTGCTTTGTGTCTCTCTGCGTTGTGCCCACTGTAGCCGGGCATGATGGCCAGCATGTGCATCAGGCCCACCTGCTCGCCCCCCCACGCCCCCGCCCTTTGCCCCGTCGAGCCCGCAGCTCCACCTGCCACGCCCCTTCGCCCCAACGCCCCTGTTCCTTGTGGGCCGCTGCTTCTTCTTGCTCTTCCTCGTATTTGTGGTACTGCCTGTATTCAATTTATAGTCTCGGGGATTTATTTATGCCTCGATTTTTGGCTGCAGTTTGCCTTCTTATTTTTGTCGTAATTTGTGCTTTTTTTTGGTGTGTGTGTGTTTTTTTCTCGTCGTATTTCTTTTGTTTTGTTTTCGTTTGAAGTCTTTATTTTTAGCGCTTAAGAGCATTTTATATGCAGCATTATGTTCAATGTGTTCTGCTTCTTCTTCAGCCTGCCACACCCCGCCGCCCACAGTTTCTTTTTAGCCTCACTCTATACACGGAAAGAAATCAGAAATGTAATCAAAATATATAAGTGTATGTGTATTTTGCTCGGATGGTAGTATTAACTTGAACCTATCAAGTATTCATATCATGTTTAACATTCTATAAATCTATAATATGCAATATATTTAAATTCTAATATTTAAAACAATCCCATATCTACCACAGAGCTTTTGAACAAAACAAATACTTTATTTTCTGTGCGTTTTGCCCATTTTCATCCGATTTGAGAGCTGCCTTGGTTTTTCATCAACGCGTTCGCCGTTTTGTTATTTTCGGGTTTTTCCTTTGAATTTATTTTTGTTCTTTTATAAACTCTGCGGGCTCTATTTTTAAAAAGAACACACAAAAACACTTGGCTGGTTAGATCACGCACACAACCACAATTGCCAATCAGTGAAAATGTTTTATTGAATTCCTCAGACTATTTTCCTTAAGTATTTTGTGTTCTGTTTTCGTTTTCCGTTTTTCGGTGGCACGAGCAAAATGCAAATTAGCAAAAATTGATGGGGGAGTGGGTGGTAAGGTGGGTGGTGGGTGATTGTTTGTGGGTGGGTTGACAAGATCTTAATGAAGATGATCATTGATCTTTGATCTTCGCACACAAATTAAGCAAGAATAGTTTTGAATTTTGGGGAAAGAGAATGTAGAGATTGGAATTCGGTGGCGATGGGAAGGAAAGATTTATAGAATAGAGATAACGCGTTCTTATATGTATATACACATATGTATGTCCTATCGACAATAAGAATCCAGTTCCTAGCAACAAGACAAATATCTAAATAAATACATTGTACAATGTACCTCTAAATAATTGCAAAATCCATATATTAATATGGTTAACGTGTTTCTGATTTGTGTCATTTGCAACATTAATTATCCACATACAAATGAACACGATTTAAGAATAGATCAGCAAGCTGTGATCGATTACTAATGCGATTCCACGGAATCTATTTTCCTTTCAATATCCGGAAATTCTTCATTCACACGTGGAAGATCATTCAGTGGTGAGGGGTAGACAATGCATTTTCCGCTTTAATTTAATTTGTATTTGTGTCTTCGCCCCTTTTTCGTATTGAATCTTTTTTTATGCCCGCTGCGATCCGCAGTGTTTCTATTTATATGGGCGTGCCTGTGTGTTGTCTTTTGCCCCGCTATAATTATAGCGCAGGTATTTATAATTATAGCATCGGCCATAGCAACTGGCGAATGTTGTGCAAGCGGGCGTCGCTGCAGGGGGCGGGGCTGGGCGGTGCTTTCGAGGGCGGTTAGGGGGGTGGTGGCGGTACAGGAGATTGCAGTTTCCTAGGAATCTATGTGGCATATGGTAAAGATTCCTCTGCTGTACAGAAAACGAAATGAAGTCCTCTTTTGGCCGTTTGGTCCAATGCCCATTTTCTATTTTGATATTTCGGGCTAGAAAAATCCGTAACTATAATTTGGCCATTTATAATTTGTATTTAAACATCGATTTCATTTCCAAAGTTGACAACAAATATGAACTCAATAACTCAGATATATAGCATCTTATACTTATATATGGGATTTTGAACAAATCAAAACTATCAAACTTATGTGGTACCTTTGTGATTTCTTTCTGCCCAAAACTTACGCAATATCAATTGCAGTTCGATTTTGTGCAGTGTAAGATGCGATTGTTGATATGTTTGAGTAATGATGCTGTTGACGGTTCTCTATCGCAGAAGCCAAACGCCCATTTGTCTACCCAAGTTTTCGCTCTCTACGCCTCTCTCCCTTTCCCCTTTCTCCTTTCTCCGTTCTCCGTTCTGCGATCTCCGTTCGCCGTGCTGCTTACCCCTTTCTTCATCGCTCTTCCGCTTTGCGCTCTTCTGCGCTCTTTCTCTGCCATGCCAGCAGCCACATTCACAGCCATCGTAACAGTTTCGAAATTTGTGTTTATATTTGATTTTTTCGCCAGTTGGGCCAGTCGGCCGAGTGAAACTGAAATGAAAGCGCCTCCCTCATTTCCCAGCGAATGCCGAGGCCAAAGCGAACGCGCCAAACACCAAAGAAATAAATACAAAATAAAACAATAAAAATCACAAAACAAAAACAACATTAACATTAAAGACCAAACACGCAGTTTTCGGACATCCTATGAAAAAAGTGCTTGGTCAACAAAGTTTATAATCAAATATCGAAAGCAAACAGCCGAAAACTAAGAAAAAAACAACAAAAAAATCTTTGAAAAGGAAACAAAAGTGGCAACAGCAGAAAGCAAAGATTATTTATTGAGTGAAGTAAGCTGAAAAGTGAGAACGCCGTTTTTTCCACCTGAAATTCACAGTTAAACAAGGCAGACCAAATAAAAACAAGAGATAAACATCATTTGCTTTATTTATTTATGTATTTTCCGCTTATTTTTGCATGTGTGACTGCGTGGGGGGTGACACACACTCACACACAGAGTGAAAAGTAGAGAGTGTGCGAAGGCATATTGCTAAGGTCATGGGAAATATGCTAATATTATGACACATCCAAATGGCACAAGTGATCTGATCAGGAAGACGGAAAACCAAAATAACCAAACACAAAATTATATACAGTGAAAATATGCAAATAATCGATCGTTGGTTATCGGTAATCGGCTACTTTTAATCGCAATTTATGCATTTTGTGTCGGGGTTGTGGTGAAACATGTAAATAATGATATATTCAAATAGCACATGCGTTTGTAATGAAAACCAAGATAAAATTTAATATTATTTCTATTGAATCAGTCAAATATGTGTTATCGGCCATCGGAAAGCTTTGACTAAGTGTATTTGTTATAAAATATTATTTAAAATAATATTTAAAACTTAAAATAAAATCATCAAAATGTTGAGCTTATTGTTTAAATTATTCGATTTTCAGATTGATTGTTTGTATGTTAGATGGGGCACATTGAAGTTCTTGTGCGTCACGTTACCTTTCAAATTAGTTGCGTAAATTTCAACCGCACACTCTAATTATTTGTACGATTTGTTAATACTATTTGTTGTTTGTTCCGCCTTTGCAGCTCAAGAAGAGCCAGGAGCTGCAGAAGCAGCGGCTTATCAACTCGTTTCAGGAGCAATCGAAGCAAATGGAATTGGAGCATAAACTCCAACTGGAGCACAAGTATCAAGTGAGTCGATGTAGTTGATGCAGCTCAGTGTAGCTGTTCTACAAGTCTGTTTGTTGCTGTTGCTGCTAGTTTGATTTGATTTTTTGCCCGACTTTATAAATATTAATAATAATAATAATAATAATGATGATGATAATGCGAACATGTCTGTGGCTGTGTGGGGGCGACAGACAGAAGTACAAAACAAAAGTGAAAAAGAAAAATGGCAAAATAAATAACAAAATATAAACAGACGACTAAGTAAAAGAGAATTGAAATAAAATGAAATTATATACATACGTACGTATGTGCATATGTACATATGTGAAATATATATTATATTATCGTGCCGGAAGTGTCGGAAGCGACTTGTGCGATGACTAAGGCCATCGTTAGCACTTTGTATTCTATATAGCCATGTCGTACAGGTCTTTAATGTTCCAGAAATCGTCTATATCAATCTATATCGTTATTGCAGCAAGATATTGAATTAGTCACCTTTGTTTTTAGAATGAAACAACACTGCTTAAGTAAATACCTTTGAAATGGGCGTTGATAAATCCGAATTTGGGATAAGTAATTATCTATAACACAGCAACAGCAACAACAATTGAACTTAACTCTATTAACTTAACCATTACTCCCCCCTCCACCACGATAAGAAGCAACAAACAAACAAACGATTCTCTCTCGAACTTATTGTAATTATTCAGTTTGCGGTGAATTCACATGGCGCTTTCCAGGAATTGCGAAACGAGAGCATGGTGACAGCCGCCGCTGCTGCGGCCGCTGCGGTGGCTCAGGAGCAGCATCGCCAGCAGTTGCATCAACATCAGCAGCAGCAGCAGCAACACCAGCAGCAGCAGCAGCAGCAGCAACAGCATCAGCAGCAGCAGCAGCAACAGGCGCGGGGCAGGGATGGCATGAAACTCAAGCAGAACTGTAGTGCCAATGCCAGTCCCGAGGTCAAACAGATTCTCAACGTAAGATATGCGATATCCAATAGCTAGACCACGTTATCCAAATCCCAAAGGAGCTCCACTGATCTGTATCCCTAATCCTTTGACAGTGCTTCATCTTGAGCAGGAAGTCGCAGGCGGCGGCTTCGAATGGCACAACGACAACGTCGCCCTACAGGAATCGGTAAGGAATATGGAATATGGAATACTGAACATAGAATATTGAATATTTCTGCTAAACGAGCTCACTCACTCTTTAAAGTCACAATTCAAAAGCAGAAATATTTGTAAACTTGCTCGTACATATATAAGTAAGTTCATTATATGCAAATGGTGCCTATCGAAAGAAATTCCTTAGTAGCTGAACACAAAGTGCATAACTTAAATAGAGAAATTCCGCAAAATGTATTTCCTAATGGAATTTCGCAAGAAACAAAATATTACTTAAAGCCAAAGCTGTTATTCTTAAAGTGCCCACCTCCACCATTCCCAGTTTATGCGCCCAACGTAATCCCAAAGTATTTCCTTTGCAGCGGCGTGGTGAAGAGCTCCTCGGGCGAATCCCTCCCAGCTGGAACCGTGACCAGTGCGCATCCGTACAAAATACCTCAGCCGCCCCCCTCACTGCTCAAATATGAATCTGATTTTCCGCTGAGGAAGACAGGTGAGTGAAATATTGAATATTCAATACTACATTGCCAGCCATTGCCAGGTGGGCCCAGGGAAAAGTCTTTCTCAATCCCACTCCCAAAACCTAATTGCCATGAATGAAAAGCTCTTGCTGCCTGAGTTTCATCGTTTTTTGCCTGTAACTTTGACCTATTGTCTAACCGCAAAAGGAGCCAACTATATTTGCATCAAATTGGCAGATAAAAATATATATTTTGAGGGTCACGTAAATAAATTGCCAAAGGATGAATGGCTTAGATAAATTTCACTGGGTAATTTCTTCATACAATGGGGTTCGTTTGGATTCATTCACAGCTGATCCAGAACAAGAGGAGATGACTTAACGTTAAACCCTGTGAATAAATCTAGAATAGTTGCAAAATATTAAACAGGGAGTTCCAAGTTAACTAGCTAGCGTACAGTGATTATATCCGCGTATAAATAGAGTTTGTTAAATAGAAACATCTCAATAAGCGTCATTTATACGTCAAGATTATGTGCTTCACTGCCCAATAAATTGCAACAAGTGGAAATGTAGTGTATAATTAGAAAAAACAGTTGAGGGCTATAAATTTTCCTTACAATTGACAGCGGAACAGACTTTGTATATTTTCGACTAATAACTTTAATGATGGATAGATAAAAATGGGGACTATAAAAATAAGCAAAAGCATGGCTTTCACCGTAAAACCCTAATAACTAACTGCAAGTATGTTTTCAAAGCAGAGCTTGAGTTCTAAACCCGTGTTCTTATAAGCCCAATGCTCTTAACCCCCGAACTAACCCCCACACGTGTGAACCGCTCCCACAACAGCATCCGAACCCAACCTGCTGAAGATCCGGCTGAAGCAGAGCGTCATCGAGCGCAAGGCCCGCATCGGAGGACCGGCGGGAGCCCGGCGCCACGAACGACTCCTCCAGGCGGCGCAGCGCAGGCAGCAAAAGAACTCGGTTCTCACAAGTACGTATCATGATCATCATCATCATCATCATCAACCAGACCCATCGGAACTCAAGTCAGGTGGCAGTACCTTTGGGATACAGGCGATCCTTTACATTTGCAAAAATGTCTTTAAAATATATAGAACATAAATGTCTTCAAAATATATAGAACGTAAATGTCTTTAAAATATATAGAACGTAAATGTCTTTAAAATATATAGAACATAAATATCTTTAAAATATATAGAACGTAAATGTCTTTAAAATATATAGAACACTTGCCAATATCACTGGCTTTCATCTTTTGAGAATTGATCATAATATCATATGATGGTACTTTGAAACGTGTACAACTTTCCAATTGATCACCGATTATTGCCACGACATATATTTTAACTTGTAACTATATCTGTTATCGTTTAATTGTTGTTTTCGCTGTTGTTCTTAATGCTGTTCAATTAACCCTTTTAAGAAGCCGCAACTGATCAATTCGCTCAGCTAACCTAACCCATATACCCTGGTTACACTCCCAATTAATCGTTGTCTAACACCCTCAACATCCTCAGACTGCAACAGCACACCGGACTCTGGACCCAACTCGCCGCCCTCGGCAGCCGCGTTGGCGGTGGGCGTGGTCGGAAGCCGTGGATCCCCGACAAGTGCACCCATCCAGGAGGAGAACGAGGAGGGGAGCCAATATCAGCCGGGCCAGAGGAGCAGCATCAACGATTTGCCACTGTTCAGCTCGCCCTCGCTGCCGAATATTTCGCTCGGGCGACCGCATTTACCCAACTCGGCGCAGGCGCATGCCCAGGTGAATGCCCAGGTGGCTGCCCAAGCTCAGGCTCAGGCACAGGCCCAGGCACAGGCTCAGGCGCATGCCATGTTCGCGGCACTGGCTGCCGCCCAGGGAGGCTGCGGACAGCCGGGCTACTACAATCCATTGGGCATGGCATTCGTTGGCCGCCAACCAGCACCGCTGGCCATGATTCCGGCCACGGGGATAGCTCCACAGCAACCGTCGCCGGTGGTGCGCAGTGCATCGGCCACCTCGACATCGTCGTCGCAGGCCTCCCTGGTGGGCGATGTGGCGCCACCGCAGGCCCATGCCGCCTCCACCATTCTGCCCTCGTCGTCGTCCTACATGCAGCAATTGGGCAGCGTGGCCGGTTCGGGGGTTAATCTCCACGCCGCCGCCGTGGCTGCAGCGGCAGCAGCAGCAGCCGCCGCCGGATCATTGCCACCTACCAATAGCCATGGTCACGGACACGGACACGGCTCCCACGCACATGCCCATGGGCACGGACATGGTCATGGCCTCTACGCAGGCCATCAGCACAATGTGCCCATCACGGACGCCCAGGTGGCGCAGGTGCATCTCCACAAACAGGGCCACCGGCCGCTGGGACGAACGCAGTCGGCGCCACTGCCCCTTGGTCATCCGATGCTAACCGGAGCTGTGCAGTTGAATGTGGTCCAAACGCACTATGAGAATAGTGAGGTAGGTTACGCCTTAACCCCTAGCAAAGATCCCTTACATATCATTTTGAATTTACAATTACTAGGCGGAGCGCCAGGCGTACGAGCATCAGGTGGTGAACCAGAAAGTCCGTCAGACTGTCCTGACTCGCAGCGGAGCTGCTGCAGCAGCCGCTGCTGCCGCCGGCGTGAGCGTGGTGCGTGAGGCACAGCTGAAGGAGGAGGACGATGACTCGGCCGCCGAGGTAATGGACCTCACAGACAAGAAAAAACCGCCGAAGACGGTGCTGACCAGCACGATAGCCACCAGTACGTCCCAGAATCTGCCCGAAGCTTTAGCGGCGGCGGCGGCAGCAGCCGCCTACCGTGCCCCGCACACCACGTCCAGTAACTCCGCCTCCGCCACAAAGTCCGGCATTAAGCTGCGGGACCAGGAGTATCTGCAACAGCAGCGGGAGCAGCTATTGCTGCTTCAGCAGGAGGAAGAACTGGCGAAGAGCATAATGCGTCCGCTCTCGCGAACGCTTAGCAGTCCGCTGGTGCCGCTGGGGCCGCATGGTCTTAGCCAGATTCCCGACACTGGACAGCAGCCGGCACCGATAGCCACATCCTCGTCGGCCGATCATATACCGCCCGTGAACCTCTCGCTGCCGCATCGCCAGCACCGCCAGCTAATGAGCACCATATACGTCAGCCAATTGCGTAACCACCAGACATCGGCGAGTGGTTCACCGCCGCACAAGGTCACCACCGGTTTGGCCTACGATCCGCTTATGCTGAAGCACTCGTGTATTTGCGGAGACAATGCCCAGCATCCGGAGCACAGTGGTCGACTGCAGAGCGTTTGGGCACGGCTAAATGAAACGGATCTGGTGAAGCGTTGCGATCGCCTGCGCGCTCGCAAGGCGACACAGGAGGAGCTGCAGAGTGTGCACACAGAAGCGCATGCTATGCTCTTCGGATCGAATCAGTGCCAGCTGAGCAGGCCCAAGTTGGAGAACACATTGTCGGCCAGCTTCGTTCGCCTATCGTGCGGTGGTTTGGGTGTGGATCTGGATACCACGTGGAATGAGCACCATACGGCAACCGCTGCCCGAATGGCCGCTGGTTGTGTTATCGATTTGGCGCTGAAAACGGCCAAGGGTGACCTGCGGAATGGCTTTGCCGTTGTACGGCCGCCGGGCCATCATGCGGAGGCCAATCTGGCCATGGGCTTCTGTTTCTTCAATTCGATCGCCATTGCGGCCAAGCTGCTCCGTCAGCGGATGCCCGAAGTGCGGCGCATCCTCATCGTCGATTGGGTGAGTTTGATGTTATAATCACGCAAATATCTAGAGTTTATCACCAAATTTCATTGATTGACAACTGAATCACCTTATGAACCACTTAATTTGCAGGATGTGCATCACGGCAATGGCACACAGCAAGCATTCTACCAAAGTCCCGACATTCTATATCTTTCCATACATCGACACGATGACGGTAACTTCTTTCCCGGCACAGGTGGACCCACAGAGGTGAGTTTCTTGCTGATATATTGCTCAAGCCCGAACGTAAACAATTATTTTTATTTCAGTGCGGCTCCGGTGCTGGTCTCGGCTTTAACGTGAACATCTCATGGTCTGGGGCACTTAATCCGCCACTGGGCGACGCCGAGTATATCGCTGCATTCCGTACCGTTGTGATGCCCATCGCGCGGAGCTTTAATCCGGACATTGTGCTGGTATCCTCCGGCTTCGATGCGGCCACCGGCCATCCGGCACCGCTGGGTGGCTACCATGTCTCTCCGGCCTGCTTTGGGTTCATGACCCGCGAACTACTTCAGTTGGCCAATGGCAAAGTGGTGCTGGCCCTTGAGGGTGGCTACGATCTGGCCGCCATCTGTGATTCCGCCCAGGAGTGTGTGCGGGCGCTGCTCGGCGATCCCGCTGCTCCCATAGCTAAGGCCGAGCTGGAGCGTCCGCCCTGCCAGAACGCCATCAATACGCTGCAGAAGACGATAGCCATTCAGGTAAATACCCTGACCCCGGGATCCTCGCATGGTCCACTGTTCCCTCCCAGCCAATTGTTACATCTGTTTCGGTTTCGATTTAGCAAACGCACTGGCCCTGCGTGAGAATGCTGGAGCACACGGTGGGCTTGTCTGCGCTGGAGACGCTCAAGGTGGAGCACGACGAGTCCGAGACGATCAACGCCATGGCTGGCCTCTCGATGCAGTCGATGCACAGGTGGGTTTATGGTCATGTTCACTGTTCAAACCAATGACTAACCTGTATATCTCTGGTGCAGAACACTATCCCGCGATGATTCCGAGGAGCCGATGGACCAGGACGAAACCAAATAGAAGGCGATGCAGACGTATAATGGGGACAAGAAGGCGGTGGGCGTGGGGAGGATTTGTGGACGTGGTAGTGGGAATGGCAAGGGGGCGTGGCCGCAAGCTGCTCAATGCACATTTAGTTATTTGTTGTAGTTAAATTGATTGTTGTTGCTGTTGTTGTTGTGGCGCTCGCTTGCAATTGTTGTCGTTGTCATTGATCGTCTATAGCCACATCTATCTCTCTCACTCGATCGATTATAGTATCCCAACACCGCTCTTCCCCCCCCCCCCCCACACACACACACACACACACACACAAATGCGAAACATCGAAAATATAAATATAGTAGGGGAACATGTCTAAAAGAAGCAGAACAGGGCCTAAAGTTCAAAATGGTGGCTGTGCCTCCAAAAGAAGAAATAATTATAATAATTAGAAAAGAACCCTTTCCATAAAGGGAGATTTTATATGAATATATATATGAATAATATATATATATAGCATAAGGCCAGAATTTAGTTGTAGAAGTCATCGAGATTTTTTTTTTTTTTTTTTTTGTTCTAAGGTGAGAGCAGAGGTATTTTGACGCACACACAAACACACGCAACTCAATGTATCTTATTATTATTATTATTATTAAGGTAAGTGTGTCAAAGGATATAGAACCACTAACATACTGGTAAATCAGTAAACTACACAGTTAAAGTTTATAGAGGTCGGTTGCAAGAAGCGCGTGTTTTTTAGTTAAGGTTCAACCTCAAAGTTTCCCAAGTCTAGACCCCACCACGCCCACTTATCCCTCCACCACATAATAAAAGATCGAGGGGGAGAGGATAACATGTTATGTAGAATGCTTTAGTTGATAAAATATATAAGAGAACTAACAACTAATGAGTTGAATGAAAAGCGGAAAAACTGAGAAATCTTTTTGTACAATTTATAGTTTAGTGCAAGTTTCAAGTACAACATGCTATTATTTAAATGCTATTATATAAATATATATATATTTAAATATATATAAATATATATTGTGCAATAAATGTGAGAAAATGAAAATCGCCACACAAAACAGAAACTAAAACTAAAACGAATAAGAGAAATTTGTTGTTAAATGTTGCCGAGATCTTATATACGTATGTATACCTAATAACTGTTACAATAATAACCATTTATATATATAAATGCACATGTGTATTCACCGTGTGTGTAACGATAACGATGTTCAACAAATGTCTGAAATGAAGTAAAACTATTATTATATGTAAATAAAACACAAAACAAAGAGAACAATTTTAATAAAAAAACAACAACCACAATATACAAAATCCGAATAAACATCCATGCTCACACACACACTTACGTCCTGGGCAGGACCCGAAAGGCGTGAATCGGGAAAATTCTGGGATAACCGTTCAACCGCTAACCGTTAAGTGTAAAACCGCTGTAACTGTATTTGTAACCGTGTACCTTTAGCTGTCTATAGCCGTCTCTCTCTAACTCGCTACCTAACTGTAAAGGAGCGCCTTAGAAACGAAAGAAGGAGTAACAGACAAGGATCAAAAATATAGCAGGAGAAAAGGATGATGATGATGGGGAGTAACAAGAAAAAAAGCACAACGAGAGATGGAGCGATTGGCTCCAACTGGATGAAACAATTGTTAACAAATCGAAACAGAAACTAAAATCTATCCTTATAAAAATGAAATCGCAAATGTAACTATTAATCTAAGCAAAGAAGATCCCATTGCCAGGATTTTATTTTTTTCCTTTTCAACGCTGAATAGATTTTGAAAAACTATTTTTTTTAACATAAGCTGTTTCGTATGAAAACATCGTAATTGCTGTTTCTTAGGAAAATAGATAAGAATTTTTATTGGGTTCCAAGAGCGTTACGAATCGCTCTGGAACTTTGTGTTATATCTGTGTTTTTTTTAATTTTCTTTTTATTGTTTGGCAATGACTAGACCTTTTTTTATCCTTCCTTCGTTTTTATCCTTCCTGGTTCTTTTTTCTTACTTAAACACGAATTATTAAGCGAATTATAATAACAAGATGAAATATTATTGTTGCACAGTGCAAAAAAATTAAAATAAATAATTCCGTAAGCTGAGAAATAGTAAAATAATGGTTTTAGCAAAATGAAAACGAAATCAAATATTTATATTTTGTTTATTGCTGCACAAATAAGTCCAAGAAACGAGAAACAACAAAAAAAAAACAATTAAGAGTAATGTTGTGTGTCGCTTTTTCTAAATGAAATAAAACAAAGAAATCGTAAACAGAATTTTAAAAATGTTTTTGCTCTAAAGTTCTCAGTGCTGCCGAACCGGAAAAGAGCAGAACTCAAAGTAAGTTGCTTTGTAAGTTATACAGAATGATAATTCTGTTTACTTACAACCACAGATAAGTATTCAGGTGTTAAACATTAACAAGGAAAGACATAAGAAGCACCAGTTTGAAAAACATATATTTTTTAAATGAAATGGAAAGCGTAAAAGCGAGCCAGCTAAAGTTGGAATTTGAGATCGTTTTATTTTATTTAAGATATATTTGTAACATTGGCGGTTAACAATATTTGATTTAATAAATATTTAATAAGTTAGTTTCCGATAAACAACGTTCACAATGCCCAAAGGCAAAAACTTTGGTGTTTTCTCCCGCTATTCGTTTATTTTTTGTTGGGAATGTACTGAAGCAAAAGTCCTAAAATTAAAGGTAACGAGAAAGATTATCATGCCTATAACGAGATAGTAGCTACGCGTGTTATTTATAAATGTAATTGAGTATCTTTCCATTTAGCTGTTTTATGCCATATATATGCCATCATCTTCAGGTCACGGGTCTCACATATCTGTCTGATTTGATTGAGCTCTGGGGGCGAACTCAGAAACACAGGAAACTCCTTCGGGATGTGGATTTTTATCTGGATTTTGGGATCGAACAAACAACGCGAAGCCTGGATCGTATATGTAACTGTATATATCTGTCTATATAATATAAGTTTAGCGGTGTATACGTGTACATGGAGTCAACGATTCTGATTCGTTTTTGGGATACGGATTCATCGCTATCCAGCCCGGCCTTAGCACTTAGAAGCTAATAATTGAGACTGCATTTGGGCACATCCAGTTTCAGATGCCTCACTGCCGCGCCACCATGTCCAGGCCACCCTCCTCTTCCATCTTGGACAGGAACTTGATGGCCCGCTGTGATTGCTCCGTCTGCCTTGCCATATCGATGAGACCCAGGAGCTTCTTGATGCCAATAAACACGCTGGACGAGATGAGGTGTAATAAAATATAAGGCATTCCTCTTAGAATCCAATAACTTACCGTTTGCCGGCCATCTTCTTGCCAATCGCCTGAATCTCGCCCTTGCTGAAGATATCCGTGTGCTCGAGCACGGCCAGAACGTGTTCCGGCTGGGATAAGTTGGGAACGTGGAGCACCGAGGTGAAGGCGGTCAGCATCTCCATCTCTTCCAGGACCTCCCTGAAAAAGATATAGGATACAGTACTGGTGATCGAAAGGGTAATCCCAGATCTCGATTTACCTCCTACTAGAAGTGCACAGTATGAGCAGTTTGCGGCCCTTGGGCGGCTGTTTCTTGAGCAGCACCAGCAGTGCCTGTAGCGTCATATTGGAATATCGCGGTCCAATCGATCCGTAGTCCAGCAGACGCTCCACATTGTCAACCACAATGCAGCTAAGCGTAGAACGATACGCGTCATCGAAGATCTTGCGGATGTGCAGGCACTTGGCCGACTCAGTGTAGCCGACCATATCCTCCGGCGAGCAGACCTTCACGAACGGGAAATCCGACATCTTGGCCAGCTGAGCGGCCAGTGCCGTCTTACCAGAGTTGGGGGCTCCGGCCACGAGTACGGAAACCAAGCCGCTAGACTCTGGAGCCTTGGCCTGCTGCACATACAGCATGCCGTCCTCGAGGAGATTGCTAACCGGAGTTCCCCAGTTGATAACACCCCGGGCCAGCATATTGTCCAGGATCTCCTGGGCCGTACCGAATGCCGGCTTAATGTCGTTCTCCAGGGAATGCAGAAAGTCATCCCGATTGACCTTCAACTTCTCCATGGCCTCGGGATCCACGGTCACTTTGGCATCGGCCTTGATCAGTCGGTTCATGGCACTCGACTGGGCGGCACGGACCAAGCCCTCCAGCTCGGCTCCGCTGAAATTCTTGGTGAGCGCGGCAATCTCCTTGTTGTCCACATCGTCGTTAATCTTGTTGAAATCGCGCATTCGCTTGGTGTGGATATTGAGGATCTGGACGCGACCCTGCTCGTTGGGCAGGCTGATCTCCATTTGGACCTCGAGGCGACCGGGTCGCAGCAAGGCCTCGTCGATCATGTCCCTGCGATTGGTCATGCCAATAACGAGAATGTTATTCAGCTGATCAACGCCATCGATTTTGGTTAGCAATTGATTGACGACGGTGTCGTGGACACCACTATTGCCGGCCACGGAGCCACGCTGCTTGCAAATGGCATCGATCTCGTCGAAGATAATGATATGTAGTCCACTGTTGGGACCCAGGCGCTTCTCCTCCTCCTCCGCTTCGGCGAACAGCCGCCGTACATTGGCCTCCGATTCGCCCACGTACTTGTCAAGGATCTGCGGACCGTTGACGATCTTCGGCTCCCGGGCATTCAACATGGTGCCGATTTGGCGAGCCATCAGAGTCTTGCCCGTACCCGGTGGACCGTAGAGCAGAATGCCCTTGACGTGCTTGCAGCCCAGCTGCTCGACCAGTTCCGGTGGGAAGACACGGGATGCGAAGGCTCGCCGGAATATCGAATTGAACTCCTTGTCCAGGCCACCGATGCCCATCTTGCCAAAGTCCCAGTCCGGATTTATAATGGACTGGCGCACCACCTTGCCCTTGCTCTTGCCCTGCAGATTCAGCGAGCTGTTCTCGGCCTTCTCGAACTGCACCACCGTGTTGCCCAGGATGCGGCCGAAGCGGACATTACGCATCGAAGGCTCCTTGCCCTCGCCCAAGCTCTTGGGATCGATGGCCTCCAGGGATTTGACGGCCAGGCCGAGAAGTTTCTTGTCCTTGAAATTGAAGACCAGTGATTGGCCGACGGTGAGGGCCATTCCGGCGAACTGCATGATGAACTCCTTGGCCATTTGATCGGAGTCATAGGGCTCCTGGGAGACACTGCACAGGATGGTAGAATACAATCGATATTGCATAATATCCTTGACGCATTATACTATATGCACTCACGTTTTCTTCTGCAGAAAGTCCGTCTCGAAGGACACACAGGTGATGACATCCGAGCTGGCATCGAAGCGATAGGGACGAACCTCCAGCTCCTGGTTAATGGACACCATGGCCCACTTTCGTTGGACCAGGGAGAAGCCCACATAGCCGCTGGGCACCTCGACAGTCTTCTCCAGCGCAAAGATGAAGTGCTGGCCCGGAGCTGGCGATATGTCCGCATACCTGAAAGCGATGCAAGTGAGATATTTACATACATAGATTACCCGGACTTGTAGGCACGGGAGGACCACCTACTTGACTTCATCCGGGAAATCACCCACATTCACTATAGCCCGATTGGTCAGCGAAAGCTCGTCCGTGGGACATTTGGTGGCCTTTAGACGCTACAGAAACCATTATTATTAATTATTATTATGCACTGTTCATATATTGGTCGCAGTACCAATAAATATTGGTAGTTCAACTCACATAAGCCATTTCTTGATATTCTGGTGGATTTTTTTTCAGGGGTTGCTACGAGCGTCCCAAAAATCGATGATAATAATAATAATCCTTGGGAGCTTCTTTGATGGTCAGAAAACGCAGCTTAGTGTGCGACTTAACCTTTGCTATTCGTTCACAGTGTCACTGAATTAGCATAACTATATTTTGTTGATTATTGCATGAATTGTAATCCTTGTATATCCTTCTGAACTTTTGCAGAAGACGGGCTTTAGAACGGCGCATGTGCTAAGCAAAAATCCAGGGCTGGAAAGCTTTTAGGTACATCCATTTGAGATTTTTTTAAATATACGCGTCTTTTACAAAACACTTACCAAGTATTTTTAGTAAAGATTTGTATTTGAATAATTGTTCTTTAATAATGTTTAATACAATTAACAAAAAGGAGTTGAATTTGTGATTTGGCTTGATGCCTAAGAGCTCTGGAATATGAAACTGTATGTACGTATAAATATTAATCAATTCTGCCACGGCAGTCTTTTTTTAATCAAATTTAAGCATTTAATTTTTAAGATTTTCCGTTAAGAGAGGTGTTGAATTGCGGCCGCAAATATACTAGAAAATGCGTGTTCCACAATAATCGACTTATCGATAACGTCCGATTTAACGATAGTACAAATGTTATGTTTATCCAAAACCTAGTGAGCGGGAAAAAATGTAAATTTATAGGAGCATCAAGTAGTCATTGAGTTTAGTTTTATATGATTTAGTGATTATGTGATTCAGATCAGTATACAATCAGTTGTACAATTTTCAGAGCTCTCCAAAATTTTGTAAAAATTCAGTTTTTTTTAACTCACTCGAAAAGTACTTTTTTAACATTTTGTAACTGTCCGTTGCAGGAGCCAAACGCATTTGATCAGATACGACGGTAAGTGACGAAGCGCCAATCGGTGGTTAGGTTCCAATAAGCGGTGTAGATCATAGTTAATATATGTACCATATCAAGTTGAGCCGAGTGCACTCTGTTAGCTCTAAAACTGTTGTGTAAACTGGCTGCGTAAAATGCGTTCTCTACACGCCCTTCTCTACACAGCAAGTTGCGGTTCGATGGCCTCACAAGTTCGAGCCGACCACTGCTTGCAACACGCTATATTCAGCATTATTTTCAAAAAACGATTTCATATAATTTGAAGTGTCAAAATTTTTGGGTTGCCCAGTTCGAACAATAAATGGCAAATTCGAAACACACGGCATAACAAGTAAACTCATTTAGGTGCACTTTTTTGAAATCTTAGCTGCATAACAGTAAAGTTTGGCTGCAACCTTTTTATCAGTGCAGTTCGATGTCTTATTGTTGGGTCTGTCTGACTCAATTGCCGCCTTTCGGTACCCTCAGTCGTCAGTCTATAAAACATCGCCGTCGTGTAGAGTTCGTCGGTACGTTCGATCGGAATACGTGAAATACGCGAATGCCGCCGAATCGGTAACGTAATAGTATAGTGTAGTTCGTATTTGACCATATTCTTTTACCCTTGGATTGTAATCTTGGTTTTTTTTTGCTGTGGGTGCGTGTGTTAAAATATATATACGAGGAAAACTGGAAAATACGCGGACTACCTGTTGATCCAAAGATCTTTGCCGGATTTCGTGTGCTTGTGTTTGTTTTTTGTTATGTTTTTTTGTTATCGTTTGCCAAAGATCCCCGGCTAAAAAAGCAATCACTTTGCCGTGCCCCGCGCACGTGCAGACAATATATAGTTTTGGTGAGATATTTGAAAATATTACCAAATATTTATAAAGTAATAACAATAACAAACACAAATGATGGTGGAGCTAAGACGGAAGCTCGGGATTTTGGTATCCCTGCAATTTGTTATCATAAGCCACACCTTTAACCTGGAACAGCGATTGCCGATCGTGAAGCACGGACATCGACACTCCCACTTCGGCTACTCCGTAGCCACCCACACGATTGGCGAGGCCAATGGTCCCAACAAGACCCACTGGTAAGTGACCATGATCTTGACGGCTCCGAAGTACACAACGTACGAGTTTATGATGGTTACGCAACTAGCGAAAGATAATAACTATCTGAAGTTCGATTAGGTTAAGTAATAGGGTTAAAAGAAATACACTAGAACAAGCAGCTCTCTTGTACGCATACAGCGACAGCCGATCACTGTGTGTGTGACAAAATATGCCCTTCACTTAGAAGTATATGGACTTTCAATCTACATTATTTGTACTCGATTGCCACCAAGTAAAAACTCTAATTTTGCATTGCCTTAACATGAAAATTATTTAATTAAATCATAGAAATGGTTCATAATAATACCTGCCTCAAGAATTCAATATAAATGGACAGGAAGCATTTAAAGTTTTTTAACTATTTAGTATATTTATTAGTACACATTTTTAGTATACAAGTAAAAAATATGCATACTTATGTAAATGATCAATTTTTAGTATTGTAAATGCAAATATTATTTTGTTGAATGTTTTTGTTATATTTATAAAAAATAATTTTTAAATAATATTTTATTCGATCATATTCTAACGAAATTGGCCAAAAAATAATCAAGTTCAAAATTGATTTCGGAGCGAAAATCGTCTTCTATCACATCTACGCATACATACATGCACACCTTTTTGCTCACTGTTTTACTCTCACAATTTTTCGCGAGCGGGGAGAGAGCAATTAACCCATGTATGGCCGTTACTCATCCTATTACTCTAGTGTCTTTGGTTAAAAGTACACCTAATCTTAGGTTTGGGGCAGGTTAGGGCCAATTTAAAATAAATAGTAAAATCAGTTTAGGCTTATGCATTTCTGCTTCTAAACGATTTATACCAAAAGTGTCTTGTTGGCCCGAACGCTATTTTTCCGCCGAAAAATGTTTGGGTAAACAAATCGCTGAAGATCAGGTAGAGAAGAGTCGTCTTCTATAAGTAAAACGACGTGATCGGAAATTCTTGGCGGCACGCGGGGAATTTCTCGTTGGTGCGAAAACAGGTTTTTATTTTCGCCAAATCGATTTCAGCTTAATTGACTGGCATTGATTGTTATTAATCAGCAGCGCGAACAACAACAAATAGTAATAATAATTTGCATTGCAATCGGTGTATTTGTTGCTGTTGCTCGGGCGCCTTCAATGTTTGCTAATGCGCGAAACTTGTTTGGATTTGTGTTTATACAGGTTACTCGTAGAGTAAAAGGGTATACTAGATTCGTTGAAAAGTATGTAACAGCTAGAAGGAAGCATTTATAAGTATATCAAGTATATATATTCTGGATCAGGATCAATAGCCGAGGCGATCTGGCCGTCCATCCGTCCTTCTGTCCGTATGAACGTCCGTATGAACGTCGATATCTAGGAACTATAGAAGCACTTGCAGCGCGAGCATATTGCCACGCCCACTCTAACGCTCTAACCGCCCAAAACAGCCATGACATTTTCCACTAGCTGAGTAACGGGTATCTGATAGTCGGGAAACTCGACTGTAGCATTCGCGCACGATGTGCCAAAACGCAGTGGATTGTAACGAATCGAAATAAACATTAGGATTAGCATTTGCCTGCATATATATAATATTTGTTTTCGACGGATGTTATTATTATGGATGTTATTTTTTCCCAAATGATACTCTTCTGGGGAATTTTAAAAACTCATCGACAATGTAAACTGTAATGGGTCTTTCATATTTTGCAAATACTTGGTAATCGCTAATTCAATGTTTTCCTTTTATGACTAACAGCAAACACAGATAGTCGACGAACAGACGAAATGTTTGTCTTCCTGTTTAAATGTTTTCTTTAACCCAGTGATATCTTTTTTTTTATAACATTTGCTTAACGCATTTTTGGCGAGGGTTTGGTGCCCATTAAATGCCAGAGCGATGGTCGGCCCAAGTGTCTGCAATGTCTCGAATTGGCGGCTTAGTATAGGTTGGCCAACTCCTTTTCGCATTTTCTCTATGTACAAACATACATGGGCCAAGCCAAACTCGGTAGACAAAACGGAGCCAGACGGCAGTGGCTATAAAAATGGGCAGACAACAAATCTGGTATCAATACAAGCTGCGACTTGGATGCGCCAGTCCACAGCGAAATAAATCAATTAATAACTAAAAATTTATTTATTACATTTTTCAAAGCACACCTATTCTGTTAAAGATGAGTATTTATACTGAATAGTATTTGAAAGTTTGTATCACGAAGCATTACATTACTTATTTTCGATCTCAACGATTTTTCTGAGTGCATCAATGCCATTGTGGTCCGCAGTTGGCATTTCCCCCCCGTTAAACGCCAGCCAGTTTGTATTCGCAACATTTTTAGAGCTGGCCAACTCAACTGCAGTTGGCAGTGGGTCAAAGTAATTACACTGGGTGGTGTTACTCCATTACAGCCATTACAGCCACCACCACACAATCACTGATTTTGGCATAAACAGAAGCTAATCGATCTATTTCCATCGCCTCGCACCGCCCGCAGCAATATCGTTTCCAGGGCGAGATTACCCAAATCCGAAACCGTGCTCCACTGCCTCGCACCAGTCACCATGTATTCCGCATCCAGACGATCACAAAGCGCACATCAGACACGCAGTCGGGCAATGGAGAATGTTGACGGCGGCAACGGGATGACTGCCTCCTTCCTGGACAAATACTACCGACCCAATTTCCGTGCTATCCGCACGGTGATCCCCATGGAGTTGCCTCCCTTCGAGCAGGCTCCGCTGCTAATCGGAATGCTCAAGCTGCAGATAACACGGCGCAAGCAGTTCATTGAGACATCCCATGCCCTCAAGGAGGATCTACTGAAAGGACTCGGCGGCAAACGCGATGCCATATTCTCGATGCACGGCACTGCCATGGGCGAACTGAAGCAGGCCGTTTATGAGCTCAGCAGCCTGCTGCATCAATTGGAGCTGGTGTACGAACCCGTGGGCTATGGAAAGATATCGGTGCAGGCCCAACAGGCCGATAAGCGGGCCCAGATATCGGAGAATCTACTCCACGGACGCAATGAGCAGCTGGAGCGTCATGCCAACCTGGCGAGGAGCAACTTCGTCATTGCGCAAACTAACGATGCCCGCAGGCGTAGGGCTGAAAAGGAGGAGGCTAGCAAGTCCCTGGGCATTTGGCGTTTCCACTAAGGCCAGCAAAGTGCTCATTGCATTCGGATTTCTCGCACAGATATTCAGCCTGATAACGAAGTGTTAATATGGCCTCTATAGATATTGTTGATCGTGTAACCAAGATGCCATTATGCTTGCTTTGACATCGTATTCCACTGGATTCATACTGATCCTTAGCACTAAACATTCCAGTTCAGCTCAAAATTAATCAAGTGCAATGGGGGGCTACGAAAAAAAAAAAAAAAAATTAAATAAAAAGCATGAAGAGCAAAAAAACAATCTTTTGCACAAAGATTTTGTAGCTACTTCCTTTGAAATCGCTGACACACTTTCCCACAGCCCAGCGGATCTCCGAGTTCCCAATGTGCCCGAATCCGGGCTTAAACATGTGTTCCTTCCAGTCGTATATCTTTCGCTCGTATACTCGTAACTTTGCCGGGCGAGTGCTCTGCATTACCAATTAGTTGGCGGAGTGCGTTTGTCACATTTTGTCAGGCCATGATCAAGGCTAAGCCTGATAGGTGAGGTGAGGTGGGGTTTCAGGGTATGAAAAGCCGCCGACTGCAATCAAAAGTCCATTTACACGTTCACTCGCACGATCCGTGTTCGTCCAAAGTGGATGGCCGTGAGCATTGGAGCCAACGTCGGTGTCCCCGTCTCTTTCTGGCCAAGCAGTGCCCTCTCTTTCGCCAGCTGGACGTGCAGATCACTTTCCAAATACTGGGAACCGACCAAGCTGAACCTGAACCTCGAACCGAACCCAAGCTGAACCCAAACTGAACCCAAACTGAACCCAAACTGAACCCAAACTGAGCCCAAACTGAACCCCAACTGAACCTCGAACCGAACCCAAACTGAACCCAAACTGAACCCCAACTGGACCCAAACTGATCCCAAACTTAACCCAAACTGAACCCAAACTGAACCCCAACTGAACCTCGAACCGAACCCAAACTGAACCCAAACTGAACCCAAACTAAACCCAAACTGAACCCAAACTGAACCCCAACTGAACCTGGAACCGAACCCAAACTGAACCCAAACTGAACCCCAACTGAACCTCGAACCGAACCCAAACTGAACCCAAACTGAACCCCAACTGAACCTCGAACCGAACCCAAACTGAACCCAAACTGAACCCAAACTGGACCCAAACTGAACCCAAACTGAACCCCAACTGAACCTCGAACCGAACCCAAACTGAACCCAAACTGAACCCCAACTGAACCTCGATCCGAACCCAAACTGAACCCAAACTGGAGCTCTGTTCTCCAGTTGAACGGAACGTGAGCATAAATGCGTTCGAATAAATTCGCATGATTACCGCGCTGTTTAGATAAGAGCATTATATGGTAGGGCAGGCAAATAACACAATATCAATGAAACATGGTAAAAATTTTGCTTTTATCATAAGTTAATAAACAAGCCCGAGTCAACAGTTTCCAGCAACGAAATCGCACGTATGGAAAGTGCACCTAAAAATCAATAGCCCGTACAAAAATGCAGGGATACTTAATAAACTTTGCACTTTTCAGTAAGGCAAATAAATGTAAGTCAACTAATCGTTGCATTTCATTTTATTTAATTGCATTTTTTATTTTCCTGACCGATATATGTGGCACAAGGAGGCCTTGAATATTCACCCGTTTCGTGGCCGCCCTTGTTTTTCAGTTTTGTTTGCACTCTGCGATTGTCGCATATTTGTTTTCATTAATGAGAGTGCAGTAAACGGAAAGGGTACATATGCTAATAAGTGACTCACTTATCGCCGGCCCATCTTTATTTTTTGTATTTGTTTTTTGTTTTTAACCAGCCATGCGAGTATACGTATCAGCCTCGATTATATTGTACAAATTGAGATACGCCGCTGTGCTATTAGTTGGTTTTTATTACTACTGTGGCATTCACAATCCCATAAAGTGAGTGTATATAGGCGCTTGGTTAATTAGCACCTTCAAACCATTGGTATTTAAAGATGGCTTTGTTTAATTAACTGCAAAAATTACAAAAATAATTACAACAGGTATCAATACTACATATTGAAAACTTGTTCAAGTGCTTAGAAAACGGTATGAAATTTTAGCGCGATTTTTGCTCGCTTGATTTTCGCTTGCTAATCCATGGGATTCGGGGGATCTTGTAGATGTTGTATCTCATGCGGGTTCGCTTCTTCTGCTTCTCCAACAACTCACTTCTCGTGTTTATGCCGCCAACATGTGTTCCCTGTTTGCGCCAAAATATAGGGGAGAAAAAGCTGAGGAACAACTCAAAAACTTTTCGCCGAAATGAGGTCAACAGACGCCAAACAGTCGGAAGAAAGGGGGTTGGGGAATTGTGGTGGTTGGGTGGTTGGGTGGCTGGGTGGTGCTCAGTGGGGCGGGGTATCCACTGGGCTGGTCGACAGTTTATGGTTATTATTGTTGCTCTTTTACTCGCTGCTGGTGCGTGCGTCTGCCGCCAAATAGTTGAATAGTTGGCCCAGGCCCACCAACAAAAAATAAAGGAACCCAACCCAAAACTCCATATCTCATCTGCCGCCCCCTCCCCAACTCCACCCCTCCAGTTTCCTATTTTTCCACTCGTAAACAAATGAAGCCAAAAACGCGAAAACGCAAAGCGTCAAACGAACAGCCGACGAGGAAATGGCCAAAAAACACTTGCTAAGGCAATGTAAGCTGGCAGACATGTGTGTATGCCATAAATATGCGCACTGGCACCCACAGTGGGGGTCACAAAAATACATGATTCTCGATTCATAATTGCAAACTCAAAAGAATGTAATGGTAAAGAAAGTTATATATGTATATGCCAAACTAAAATTAAAACACAGATTGAAATAGGCGTACTTAAAATTCGTTTGCCAGCTTCCTATTTTAATGACCGCTGGTGTACAATTGGGGGCATTAAGTGCCGACTTTTCTAAGGCTGCCCCAGCGAAAAAAATGAGGAGATGGGGGTGTGACTTCTGGCAGCCAAGATCCAAGATCCCAAGATCCATGGGAAAAGTCCACTTGGTCAATTTTAGCTAAGCGAGTCAACAGTGAACATTTATAGTAAGAAATGCTTGATTTGCGATCTTAATTAATAAACAGCCTTTGTGGAATTACAATCTTTAGGAGCCCTTCTGTATTGGGGGAATTCCTAGATAAGTCTGAACATTTTTGTCATACTGAGTGCCCACTGTGGAAGTGTAGCCGCCTGCTCAATGGCACGTTGAGCGGGCCATAAACATGCGTGAAAATTCAATTTATTTTCCGGGGAGCAGAAGGCGGCATAGTTGGCATGCGTATTTATAGAAAATAGAGGAAAAGCCTAATGCTGCACACGAAAACAACAAAAAAATGCCTATTTTGGTGTGGGAAACAAGAGGCTGGCCGATTTGGATCCGCATCGGAAAACCGATCTGGGAACTGGGATTGCGAATGGGATTGCGATTTTGCCTGGGCAGGCAGCTGTCGAGTGGCGAGATACAAGACGGCGCACATATTCAGATACGCAGATACATTTGCGAGAATATCCGAGGGACTTGCAACATAATTTCTGCCAGCAGCTAATGAGACCCGAGGCCCCGAAAGTGTTGCCACAGCCACAACTCCATGGAGCTACGTAAAAAAGCGCGTGGGCGGCTCTTGATTTATTGCCAATTGGATGGCAGTCGCACAGAAGAATCGCGCTTGAAGAGCTGCGAAGAAATCCCAAATCCGAATCAAAATCGAAAAAAAAAGGAAAAAATGGCCGCGTGGGTTAACTGAAGGAAAAAAATGAAACACGAAGTTGCAAAAAAAGGGGAGAAAAAATCAGTAAAAATAAGAAAAACGCTCACGATGATTTTGCGCATAGAAATCAAAGAGCCCACGCCTCGAGGTCTTTTGAAGTGGAGGCAGAATCGGCCCACCAGAAGAACTGGGCACAGAAGACGCTAGCAATCTCCGAAGAATCGTCTCCCTGAGCGAACGATAAATCAATAAGCTCCGAAAATGTGGCAACCGCTTCCACTCTGCCACCGCTTGCAACTCCGACAAATTGCCCATTGGGCTGGGCAACCGCAATCTCCTAATGACGGAGGATGGGCCAGAGATCAGTGGGTTTCAGCAGAGGATCAGCGAAGTCCAAGCGACAGAAAAAGGAGCGACAGAAGTTGGCTAATAACCAAGAGTGCTGGGTAGCCAGCAAATGCGATGGATACACTGTGATCAAATGGGAAGTTATATATAATACCATATATTTGAAGAGTGAAGACAAAGATACTAGATACTAGATATTCGGAATGCTCAAGATGAGTTCAATTTGATAACTGGCTGGCCAATTTAAGAGTTCGCATAGCTAAATGGGGTTTGCGAAAGCCAGACGAAGGTGGCAACCGCAGATCCGAGATCAGATCCCAATCCCCCGATCATCGCACGCAGATTCCCCATGCCATGCCATGCCATGCCACTAACCCCATTGGTATCGCAGTCACATGGGTGAGATTTATGGAGCAAATACCGTGGTTACCCCTTTTATTTGGCCCCGGCTCCCTCGATGCTTTCTGTTTGCCCCGCGGCTGAGCTGAGAATTGTGCGAATGAAACTCGTTACCGGAGGGAAAGAGAAAGGGGGGAGAGAGAGAAAGAAAGAAAGAGAGAGAGAGGGGGAGAGCGAAAGAGAGAAGGAGAGGAATAGCGCGGCAAAGCAGGCCAGACAAAGCCGCAGATGGATCGAACCATTGCCAATAACCGTACCTGCCCCAGTCAGCAAGCTACACTGGAGAAAATGTTTTCGGTATCTTCGATGCATTTGATTTGGATGTTGTTACATTGACAAGCGCATGGTCGTACGTTAAAACCCCTAAGTAATGTCCTACACTTTGCAATGTGCCATGTGTAAGCTGCGATTAATAGGTATTATCATTGTTTAACTTGTTTAGCGCTATTACTGCGCACTATTAGTAATATACAACCCTGTTTTTAGCCAGCCAATGAACACTAGCCTCCAAACCCCTGGCGAATTCCGTGTACTACGCTTTTTTTGCGGTGCATTGGCAGTAAGCTGAGACTTTGTTGGGATCGCTCTCCATCTCCGCCACATAGAGCCCCTCCTCTGCGGCACTGCGCCCCTGTTAACCTTCCCGTCCACCTCAATCCGGTCCAAGTGGCTTCTTCCCACTTCTCTTGGCGGATCTGCGATCGTGTTGCTTGCTGTTGCTTGTTTCTAATGAAAACTGACGCCGTTCGGTTTCTT